CAGTCGGCGGCGGACGATGACGACGCTCTTCCACAGCGAACCAGCAAGCCTCCCATCAAGACGTACGAGGCGCGCAGCCGGATCGGCCTGAAGCTGAAGATCAAGCAGGACCAGACCGGGTTCAGCAAGGTGGTCCACAACACCGCCCTGGATCCCGTCCACGCCCCCCAACCTCGCTCCACCCCGGAGCCACCGCCGGAGCCAGCAAAGTCCCAGCACCTAGCCACGCCCCCCAACACCGTCATCAGGACTCAGTCCCCGACGGTCACGCCCACTCAGAGCAACCTCAGAAACGCTGCTCCGTCGTCGTCGACGACCACGCAGATGAACGGCTCGTTGGACCACCACCCGGTCAAACACAACCCGGCGTCGTCACAGACCACCTGCCGCCTGCCGCTTAGAAAGACCTACAGGGAGAACATCAGTCCCCGGGTCAGGCCCGGCGTCCCCGGCGGACTGGACGAAAGCTTTTCCTACCCCATCACTACGCCGTCGCCGCCGCGGCACGAGGCGTCCACCCCGCCCTCGGAACGGACCGTCATAGCGAGCGTACGGGTGGAGAAGCGAGACAGGGAGGCGGACCCGAGTCTTGAAGGCGGACGCTTGGGGAACACGATGGACAAAATGAACGAGGTGTTCAACCGGAGCGTGAAGACGGCGACCCACCACCATCTTTCTCTGCTGCTGGACTGCGAGGCGGCGAAGGAGAGGGAGGACGAGCACACGGACCAAGACGCTGACAAGTACAAACGGTTCAGCGGGAAAAACAAACACAGGACTGGCGGGACGTTCAGAATGGACCAGCACGCGCCCGGACCGCCGTCCCCGGAGTCGTCGTTCGCCCGAGACTCTCTGCTTCCCGCCAAACGCTGCAAGTCGGACTCGCCCGACATGGACAACGCCAGCTTCTCCAGCGGCAGCCCGCCAGACGACTCGCTCAACGAGCATCTGCAGTGCGCCATCGACAGCATCCTCAACCTGCAGCAGGAGCCCGGCGTGCGCGGACACCACGTCCGGGCCGGCGCCGGCGGCAGGACGCACCAACACCAAAGTCAGCGCCCGGGAGACTCGGCGGTCTCCACACACAGAGCTCCGCCCCCCACGGCGTCGTCCGCTCCGTCGTCGTCCTCGCTGGGCCCTCAGGTCGGGGGGCGGGGCCACAACGGCAGCCTGGTCCCCCAGACTCAGAGCAGATAACAGGCCCTCAACCCCAGGCTGGACTGATGGGGGTGACGCTGCAACAGGGGAAAGACAGGGGGCGCTGCACTGCAGAAAACACTCAATCTGAGCACTTTTAGTCTCGTTTCTGCTGCAGTTCACTTTAAATAAGATAAAACCAACTCACAAGACAGTGGAGCTTGTTTTAATTCAACAATTTTTTAATATCGATATAAAAAGTTTTACAAGCAGATTATTTAACTTCAAATAAAACATTTTTCCAATGTTACAAATTAAATAATCTGCCAGTGTAACTAGAATATTAAGAAATTATTAAATAAGATAACCTAGAAAGTTACTTATAAATTAGTTTTGTCTTATTTCAACTGAACTGAGATATTTCTACTAGACAAAAAATACATGGTAAGATTTTGTGTTTTTGCAGTGTAACAACAGTTATTCTCTTAAACTGTGCTAACTTAGTTCACTGTAAAAACACAAACTAACCAAACATCTTTTATGTAGTTTTTATTCAAATATCTTAGTGCGCTTGAATAAAACAAAACTTACAAGTAACTTTTCAGCAAAATATAGGAACTTGTTTTAAGTCAATAATTCCTTAACATTAACAAAAATGTTATAAACTGGCATTTTTTTCAGCTGTAATGAAGGAAAAGTTTCTTGTAATAAGTGAAGTAATCTGCCAATTGATTTTATTTAATCAATATTAAATTATTTTTTAAAACATGCTTTTATATGTTTCTGAAAAGTTATTTTGAAGTTAGTTTTGTCTTAAATTATTTCAAATAAATGAAGATGTTGGCAGATTGTTTCATTTATATTATGGGGAAAATAGTATAAATGAAGAAATCTGGATTTTTAAAAGATCAATATTAAGAAATTATTGGCTGAAAACAAGCTCCTTTATCTTACTGAAAAGTTTCTTGTGATTTTTGTCTTTTTTAAAGTGTGAGAAATTGTTTGCAGTAGAAACTAGACCAAAACTATATGGTGAGATTTTGTGTTTTTGCAGCGTTTGTCCATTTGAATTGTCCAAACGTTTCTTATTTTTAGCCCGGTTTATGGATTGAATGTGGCAAAAGCAAAACGGTGAACCACAGACCTTTATCACGCCTGCTTTTTATGTTTCTTTTTTCTCTCTTCTTCATGTTTACATTCCTCTAACTTGTCCCCAGGAGGAGACTCTGTCCGCTCGTCTGGCCGAAACGACGCCCTGTCGAGCATCACAGAAAAATAAACCGGCGGGGCGCCTTGACGCGTTCCCTGCACCTTTACACATTAGACTCTTTATCACAAATGCAAATGACACACTTTCACTGCAGGCCACAGCTGTATCCCTGTCGCTACCTTGGTGACAAAACGAGGAAATGATAGGAGAACCTTTTTGTTTTGGTTGCTCTCTAATGCTGTAACATCAAGATGTCAGAATGTAAATTAACTCTGTTCTTTTCCGCGCCTGTCGACAGATTTCACCAGGTTTCTGTTTGTCTGCGGCTCATGAAGTTAAAGCATTATGCATTTCCGTCAGCAGGGGGCAGACTAGCTCTGGCTTTCCTCATTCTTTCAGCTTTCTTCTTCAGCTATGTTTCCTGTTTTTATTTTTATTTCTAGGACAATTCAGAAACAAACACAGCACAAAAACATTGAAATGGAAAAAAATGGAACAATAATAATGTACAAAAAAAAAAGACCGGAAGAGAATTTGAAGTATAGTATTACAGATTAATTTTTGTATTGTATTTATTGTGTATAATGACACTTTTTAAAAAGAAATGTACATTTAGTAAAACTGTAAATTAAACCTTGCTTCTTTTATGAATCTTTTTGTGTTGCTGGTGATCTGTGGAGTCGTGTAGACCAGGTAATCTAAATGTACCTGCTATATTTGGATTACATACATAAGGCTATTTTTAACAACTCTTATTTGCATTTTTTATTTTCTTAAATAATTCAGCTTCAATTTTATTATTTTATTGTGAAAATTAAATTTCTTTTCTCTACCCAAACCTAAAATGAAGAATAAAATCAATTAGTTTTTTCCAGTTTTATCACAATTTTGCAGATTCAAAACTTTTTTTTTTGTTTTGTTTTTTTGTTTGTTGCATATTTCAGATCAATCAGGATAAATTTTAATCTCAAAGATAAAGTATTTTGGATAGATTTCACTATTTTTAAGCCAAATATGTAACCAAGTTCGAAACCTAATAACTGATTGGGCGGCAAAACTTTTCTTAAAGCATTTACAATTCTTACACCCACTTTACTTTGCAGAATTGCTTTGAATAGTTTAAATAAGTGTCTTCAACCATAAATACCATTTTAACGATCATATCAAAGAAAGAACTTTGACTAAACCACTCAAATATTGTAATTTTCTGATTTTAGCTTATGTTTAATTAGAGACTAGATTACAACAAGAAAACATTAAAATTCACTCAGAAAAACAATAAATTGTAGTAATATCATAAACGGACAAACTGTTTTCCTTTAACAATGACAGCTTTAAAAAATAAAGTTATATATTTAATACGGTAATCTACCGAATCTCAGAAATCTGAGATTAAAGTCAGATTTCTTTTTTTTCGGTGGCCCTTATCCTCTTCCATACTAGTCACAGTTATTCAATTTCGTCTACGATTTAATGTAGATTTTTTTTTCTTTTCTGTCAGGCAAAAATTGGGTCACATGCATGAGGCTACTTAACTTTTTTTTGTCAACCGCCAATAAAAATCGAGAAGAGTCTGGAAGCTATTGCTAACTAGTTGCTAATGGCTAATATAAGCCTTGCTAGCTAGCTAGCTTTTTTAGAGGTGAATGCTAATTTATCGACAGCTAAATGGACGATGTTCATCTTCGCCACTTGCTGCTAACCAATACCATGCTAGTTTATGCTGCTCATTAGCCTAGCATTTAAAAATGCTAGGCATTAGCCCAGCATTTTATTAATGCTAAGCATTAACCTAACATTTATTAATGCTAGGCTAATGAAGAAAATGTATATTTTACAGTGTGAGAAGCACAGAGGTGGACAGAGTACTACAGTTTAGTTTTATTCAAGTAAACATTTCACTGCCAGATTATTTCACTTATAACAGTAGATTTTTCTCATGTTACAAGTGAAAAAAATCTGTATTTTAAATCAATGTTCAACAATGATTGACTTAAAACAAGCTCTGACATCTTCATAAAAAGTTACTTTAAAGTAAATTTTATGTTATTTTAAATGTAATAAGATGTGCAAATATCTTACTACACCTGAAATGAGACTAAACCAACTTACAGGTAACTTTTTAGCAAGATTTAAGAACTTGTTTTAAATAATTAATGAATATTTTACTGATATTAAAAAAGTTCTAGTTCCACTGGCAGATAGATGGTTTTACCAATAAGACATTTTCCCATATTAAGAGTGAAAAAAAAATAATTAAACAATTATTGACTTTAAACAAGCTACCATGTCTTGCTAAAAGTTACCTTTAAGTTGGTTTTATGATGTTTGAAGTGTAATAAGATATTAACACCAGAAACTGGACCAAAATACTTGGTAATATTTGGTGTTTTTTGGATTGTAACGGTTGAATCTTCGGTACATAATGAATGTTTCCATCATTTTGCCACCAGGTGGTGCTTCCACAGTGAGTCTACAGTGTTTAAAATGCACATTGTTTCATCTTTAGTAGAAGAAAACATGAGCATGAGGTCATATGATTTTAAATATGCACAAGGAGGTTGTGTCATTTGGAAAAAGAAAAAAAAAAAACTCCACCCAAATTGTTTACCCCTCCTCTGAGGATCCACACCCTCTGGTCACTCCTCTGCAGAACGTTGGCGCTCAGTGCCCAGGCATCCCTGCAAGAGGAGGAGGGTCTGTCAAACTCAAACAAGCAAAGGGAGAGAAAAAATTCCCCCCAGTGAGTCTTTGCCTCGTGTTTTTTCCAGCCAGCAGATCCAGAGCTCATCTGAAATGTATTAAACCCTGGAGAAAGAAGGATCCTCTGTAATCTAGCCGAGGGATCCTACGTGCAGCAGCGGCTCTTCTGTCTCACTCTCAGGGCGAATCCAGTTGCTTTGGGAAGAATCCTCGTCCACTTGGTAAATTCTGCCTTTTAAACTTCACATCTTGCATGTAATCCCTGTTTTTATTATGAACATTTTCGGTTTTAATAGAATGATAATTTTTCTGCTCATGCTTATTGTAAAAGTTGTTGCTGCAGCAGGGCCTGACTGTAGTTTTCTTGTTCCAAGTCCAAACATGTGTTGCAGTTGTGGCTCTGAAACCCACAAGGCATTTTCCACCAAACTGACTCCAGTCTCAACCAAAGTTTGGACTTTTCCGCTTGGCGATCAGATGTGATGGGACCTTTAATGTCTCTCCAGAGTTCACCATTTTGACTCTTTCCACTGAGGTCTTGTGACATGTCAGAACTGTGTTCCCTCTTCTCCCCTGGGCAAAAAAAAAAAAAAAAGAAAAAGATGAGTTATAGCCCTGCTGGCCTCACCTCTCTGCTGCCATAATGAGTTCAGCTGCCAACCCTGAGCTCCTGTTTGTGGAAACTGCAGTCAAAAGATCACGTTTGAGGGTGAAAACTTTGAAAAGCTGCACCCTTCCTCCACATACTTGTGGGAGACGCAGCAGATAAAAGGGACATCTTACTCATTTCACTGTAAAGAAATGAGCTGTGCCTGTGCAAATCCCTCACATTTTCCAGTGAGAGCACGCTGGGTCTCTTTTCCAGGCATACTCTGCACTGTAAAAACTCAAAACCTTACCAAGTAGTTTTGGTTTAGTTTCTAGAGCAAATATTTAATTACACATCAAAATATTTAGACAGTTATGAGATCTTAAGGAAATAATTCCCTCATTTTGATCAGTAAAAAGTTCTAGTTCCAGTAGCAAATGTTTTAATCTAAGACGTCCTTCTTATAAGTTAAACTTTTTTAAAACAAGCTCTCAAATCTTTCTAAGGAGTTACTTGTAAGTTAGTTTTGTCTTATTTCCACAAAAACTACACAAAAGTACTTGGTAAGATTTTGTATTTTTGCAGTGAACAAAACCAACATGGCTGGGGAAAGTAAGTACACTCCAAAAACATAAAATCTTACAGTTGGAATAAGAGAAAACTAACTTACAAATCACTTTTTTAGGAGTTTATTTTAAGTAAATAGTGCCTCAATGGATAAAATTATTGACTTAAAACAATTTCCTTTAATCCTACCAGAAAGTTACTTGTAAGTTAGTTTTGTCTTAATTCATGACCTGCTTTCTCTCTGTCTTTGGTGCAGATTTCAGGGGTTAAAGGTCGGCATTGTTGGAGCCGCTATCTTTCCCCACGCTGTGTACCGAATCCATCTCAAGCACAAAGTGAGCAGCTTTCACGTAAACACAGGAAGCAGCTGAAGGCTCAGGCAGGAATCACAAGCGTCAGAAAATGTCTCGCTGGGGGCGTAAAAACGTGAAGAAGGCGCCTGAGGTGATCCGCACGGTGACAGAGGGCCTGAAGTCTCTGTACCGGAAGAAGCTGCTGCCTCTGGAGCAGTACTATGGTTTCCATGACTTCCACTCCCTCAGCCTGGAGGACGCCGACTTCGACAACAAGCCCATGGTTCTGGTCGTGGGTCAGTACTCCACTGGAAAAACTACGTTCATCAAGTAAGACCCTGCAGCGTCGCTGAAGACACAAACGTTTCCACAAAAACACAAAATCTCACCAAATGTTTTGGACTATGATTGAAAGTACAGATGATGTCACTCATAAAGATATTTTTTTCATGTTTTAAGTGAAATAATTTGCCAGTTAAACTAAAAAAAATCATTATGAATAATAATCGACCTGAAATAAACTCTTATTTTTTTACTTTAACGTTAGTTTGGTCTCATTTGAAGTGAACTGAGAGATCTGCAGATCAAAAATATTTGGTGAGATTTTGTGTTTTTGCAGTTTCATTATTTATCATCATATAAAGATGCTAAATATACATAATGAAATATGGTGGTGGCAGCATCATGCTGTGGGTGCTGCCTGCACATCTAGAAAGTTGTCTGCTCCAGATTATAGATAATAAGTAAAATAATCTGTCATTGTAACTAGAACATTTTCATCAATATTAAGAAATTGACTTAAAACAAGCTCATATTTCTTACTGAAAACTAATTTGTAATTTTGTTTTGTACTAAGATATTTAATCTAGTTTTAGGCTAAAAACATACCAACTTCTTGGTATGTTTATGTTTTACAGTGTTAACCTCTTTCTGCTGATCCATCAGATCAACAAAAACCAAACTTTGTGGCTCTGAGTTGATAAAAGCTGCAGATGTTCATTAGTTTCCCGGTCGGGATCAGCGTGACGTGAACGGTTCTGCGTGTGACGGACAGGTATCTGCTGGAGCAGGATATTCCCGGGAGCAGAGTGGGCCCTGAACCCACCACGGACTGCTTCACTGCCATCATGCATGGCGAGGTGGAAGGGGTCATCCCCGGGAACGCCCTCATCGTCGACCCCAACAAGCCGTTCCGTAAACTCAACCCCTTCGGAAACACCTTCCTCAACAGGTGAGACCTGCAGACGCTTCTGTGCTCACAGGATTTCACAGCGTTTCCACTGGGAGGGAGGGACGGCGGGAGTGTGTGACATATCTGTGAGGAATGAGCGGAGTGTGTGTGTGAGTGTGTGTGAGGAAGTTTGTGGAAAGTGTTTTAGCTCTTTGGTATTTCAAGAGCTTGTGCCAAATTTCGGAGCGAGGCGGCCCCCTGCCTTATTTGTGGAGAAAAGGGAAAGACGGAGCGAGTGAGTGATGAAAGTACGCAGTTTATGAGGAAAGGTCAAAGGGCGGCACAGCCCCGCAGGGAAAAGACAAACATTTATAGCTACACTGCAAAAAAACACCACAAAACATTACCAAGTGTTTTTGTTTCTACTACAAATATCTTTGTAGCCTTGAAATAACTTAAACTAATTTAAATAGGTTTTAAGCAAGATATTGGAACTTCTTAATATCGATTTTAAAAAATGACCAATGGATGATTTCACTTGTAACGAAACATTTTTTCAGTTTTAATCTTTTACATCAATTGTGAGGAATTATTGACTTAAAACAAGCTTCTATAGCTTACAAATTCAACTGTATCAAGATATTTACGCCAGAAACTACGTTAAATCAACTTGGCTTGATTTTGTGTTTTTGCAGTGTAGGAGAACAAGAAATGCTTTCCACCCAAATTCAGAGCTGCTACACTGCAAAAACAACTTTTTATCTTAGTGCACCTGAAATAAGACAAAACTAACTTACAAGGAAATAGGAGGGTTTTTTAAAAATAATTTCTTTATATTTATTGAAAAAATTTACTGGTTCCCCTGGCAAATTATTGCGCTAAAATGAGAAAAATGTCTTGTTTTAAGTGAAATAATCTTACAGTTAAACTAGCACTTTTTAAGCAAAATTAAAGAATTATTAAACAATTACTTCTACGATATTTGCAACAGAAGCCAGATAAAAAAATACTTGGTAATATTTTGTGTTTTTGCGGTGAAGAAGTTATTTCCACTGAAATCCATCTTCTGAGCCGCCGGATGTTGGATGTAAATGCCAGCAGTTGTCCAGCGGGGAGCAGAAAGACGTCACAGGAACATGCAGCGCTGCTGCTAATGGCAGCTCCGGCTGATGCGAGTTTTCCATCAGGCTCATGTTTGTGAAGAAATCTGCGTCTCCTTTTGCGCTGACTTCCTGTCTTGGAAACCGGAGGGACCCGTTAAGCCTTTAACATGCAGGAAGTGGGGTTGTTGTTCTGAGCCCCAGATCGTTAGCAGATCTTATTGTTTGATTCTGGCAGTGATGGTCATTTTCCTTCAGGAAGCCCAGAGCAGCAAGGCCGGCCTGCACACAATGGGCCGGCTGGGTGTGTGTGTCGGACCTGTGGCTCACACTGACCGACCTCCTAACGTTCTCATTTACTTTAAAAGGGAGCTGCTGTGCAAAGTTCACAGTTTTACACTTCCATTTGGGTTTCCACTGCTTCTGACAGCAGCGCAAGTGGTTAAAAAAACAAAACGGGTTAGTTTTTTTTAAAGCTTTTTGGTAACTGGAAAATTATTCGAAAAGCTTCGGAATGTAAAGTCACCAATCAGCAGGCGCTGCCCGTTACCTAGCAACCCCAGTGGAGTTCCGCCCGTTACCTAGCAACCACATGCTGAACTCCAGCACCTTTGGTCAGCTGGTTTTATCTAAAAAATGTTGGTCTAGTTTTCAGTGCAAATATCTTAGTACACTTGAAATAAGACAAAACTAACTTGCAAGTAACTTTTCAGCAAGATATAGCAGCGCGTTTTCAGTCAATTGTTCCTCAATATATCTGTGAAAAAGTTTCATTGGCAGATTATCTCACTTATAACAAGACATTTTCCCCATGTTTTAAGCAATATAGTCTGACAATACAACTAATAATATGTTGTTGTTTTTTTATAATTATTAAGGAATTATTGACTTGAAACAAACTCCTATATCTTGGTAAAATTCAATTGTTACTTGTAAGTTAGTTTTGTCTTATTCCAAGTAAACTAACATATTTACTCTATAAACTAGACCACAAAACACTTGGTAAGCTCCAGCACATTTGGTCAGCTGGTTTTACCATTGCTGACTGCACAATGGCTGCTGGAAAAGACAAGTGTTTTGTTGTTGACTTACCATCCAGAAACTACTTGTTGCATTCTTGTTGGCTGTGCAGGCGGCTCTACTAATGCTTGTCAAAGCTGTACAATGGTATAATTGTCATCTGTTTGTAGCCATTTTTACTTGTGAGTGTAAATGTTGAGTTAGTGGGTGTGGCCAGCAACTTATTTGGATTTTAAGTGACAAGAGGCCCTAAAACAGTTCAAATCTTATTCTCTAAAAATTTATTTGTGCAAAAAAATTTTATTTACATGTTTTGTATAGACCATATGGTTATAGGCATAATAGGTGACCTTCCAGCTTCATTTATTGTATCTTTCCCCCCAAAATTGTGAAATTCTCCTCGTTTTGACCAGATTCCAGTGCGCCCAGATGCCCAACCAGGTCCTGGAGAGCATCAGCATCATTGACACCCCAGGGATCCTGTCCGGCGCCAAGCAGAGAGTGAGCCGAGGTGAGCGGGGTGCCACAGGTGAGGAGAGGGCATGAGGTCAGGTCGGCCTACACAGAGCGAGAGAGGAGTATCTGTGCTCATCGGCTCATAAGCTCATCTCCTCACCACGCCTGCCTAACTCACAGGATCGGTTTGTTCTGCCACCAATAACACTTGGCAGCAGGACTCAGAAACATCCCTGCAGCCATAAACTCATAATTAAGCACAGAGACTCTGTCAGCACATCTGGGAGAATGCACTGTTGAGAAATCTCTTCCATCATCTTCATCTTGCATTCATTTTATGCTAACCCATCCTGCAGCCGAGCCGTTCTTCCTGCTAACCCTGAGTGATTCATCGCCGCGCGTTTTGTTTTGTGTTTTGATTTTTATCTGAAAGGGTACAGGTCTCCGTCAGCACAACAGCAGGATGGAAAGACATCAGCAATAATTATATACCAAACTGAAAACACAAAATTGTATGAATATTTTTTTTAATTGTTCTTTTTTTTTTGCACTTAAAACAAAAAATTATCAGCAAATAAACTTTTTTGAGCAGCTTAGGGAACACTGCGAGTTTTCTGAGCTTCTAAGAACGGCTGTAAACGGCATAACGAGGAGCACTGTTGTGACGACATGCTGGAGGCGGACGGTCAGAAATAACACTGCAAAAACACAAAATGTTACCAGGTATTTTTATTCTGATTTCTACTTCAGATATTTTGGTTCACTTGAAGTAAGATAAAACTAACTTACAAGTAACTTTTAGTAAGATATCAGGATTTGTTTCAATTAAATAATTGCTTAATATTGATGAAAAAGTACAAGCAGATTATTTTACTTAAATGTGGGAAAATGTATTTTTATAAGTGAAATAATCTGCCAACTAGTATATTTTTAAGTCAATCATGAACGTAAACTTCTATATCTTGCTGGAAAGAACCTTGTAAGTTAGTTTTATCATATTATATGGTAAAATTTTGTGTTTTTGGACTGAGCTGAAGCTTCTTAAAGAGAAAGAGCTCCAATTTCAGGGCATACTTTTGTGTCACTTCATATAACGCAAGGTCAAATATCCTTTAAGTTGTTTTAATATAAAACGGAAGAAAGGTGCTTTTTTTTCTAAAACAAAATGTCGGCACAGATCCTTCTGAGACAGAAACAAAATAATTTGTCTGAAAATGAAAACTGTCCAACTGTATTTTAAATTACTGCTGTAAAAGTTGGCGGAAAAAACAGCTGACTGTTACATTTAGATTTTCCCCAAGCCTGTATTTGGATAATGTTCAGTTTTCTGCCTTACATGTTCAATTATCAACAAACAAGAGTTCCTCCTCCAGCCTGAAGAGGCAGAGCTGGATGGTTTGTTGCCTGAGGCGCTGACAGGAATTAAAAACATTTTCCACATTCTTCATAAACACACCTCTCCAGAAACAGCCTGGAAACGGCCTCACTCCGTTTCTTCATGCTTTCAACTGCGCGACACAGAAATCACTCAGTTAAAGTAAAGTTGAGGCAAAATATTCTGCTAAAAAAGGAAGAAAAGATTAGTCCAAGTAGAATAATTGCTGATCCTTGCAAAACAAGCGTGAGAGTCTTAATCTGCTGAACGGGCGTACCATCAGAGTCTGATTAGAGAGAAAGAGCTGAAAATATTTTATATGGAGCCCAATAGTGGCATTCTTGCACTCAGGGAGTGTTTAAAAAAAAAACAGCCAAACCTACAGCAATGACACTTATATTTCCTAAAAGCAGACACCTGTGGCTACGTTTTGATGCAGAAAGTGTTTCTGTAGGGTGAGAAATTTCCAATCAGTAGCGTTTTGTTTGTCAGGCTTTAAAAAGCGTCAGTTGCTACAGTGGTGCAAGGATTCTGTCACTGGGTTACATTGTAAAGCTGAAAACGACCAAAAATCTGCATGAGACAAATTGAGATTTTAGAAAACCCGTAAGAGATATCAATAAACTGAACCATCTGAAGATGGATTAACCTCTTGTGATTGGTTTGAAAGCGGAATGGAGCCTCTAGGTCAAAGTAGGCAGATGTAGTAAGTTGTCAAAGAGCAGAAACGTTTTCCTGAATTTTGTGGAATTCTGGAAAATTTCAATTCATTTCAATGAAGCTGAAATTTGCATAAAGTTTAAATAATTTAAAAAACTTAAAAAATTTAATTTCAAAAGATATAGAAAAAGTCTCCAGAAAAAGATGAATGTTTTATATGTGAATTGGTTAAATCTTTGGCAGCATATTAGAGCCAATGTTCATAGAAAAAGGAGAGGGGTAAATTTCCACCAAAAAAACTCAAAAATTTTGAAATAAATTTCTGAAATTTTCTGGAAAAAACTTGGAAATTCTCTGAGTTTCAAAAGTCAAAGATCTCTCAACTTTTGAAAGTTATCTGAGTTTAAAAACCAAAAAAGTTTCCAAGTTTTTTTCAAGAAAAAAATATTTCCTTTCTAGCAAATTTGTGACTTACTTGAAAAAACTCAAATTTTAACATTCATCAAAAGTCAAATGTAACATTTCGAGAAAATTTCCATGTATTATTTCTAGCAATTTTTCGACTTTATAAACTCAGAAATTTTCTTTTTTTCTATAAAAAATCTATAATCTAGAAAAATTCTGTTTTTCCTAGAAATTATTTAAACTTCATGAACTCTGAAATTTTCTTGCTTTTTTTCTAAAATAAACCTCAAAATTTCAGATTTTTTTTAAGCGCAATTCAGTTTTTGTTTTGTTTGTTGTTTTTATCTGCAATGGTCCTAATATTTTGTTGCAGTTGAAGTTTGCAGACAGCTTTTTTATCTCTGTATTTATTATAGTGTTGGAACATCAGCCTGGCTACAACCTCATGTATTTACATATCAATATGGCATTTAAATATCAATATCAAACATGAGGCACGTATTATCTCATTTTTTAAATTGAACTTGAACGATTAAGCGCTGCACAAATGACTGAATGAAAAGAAAGGAAACCACAATCCTCAGAAGAAAAGTGTCTGCAGTGTCTCCGGCTGCAGGCGATGTGCAGATGCAGATAAGATTGGTTAATCTGTGTCATCTCTTCCTGCTCTCGCTCTCCTCTCAGGTTATGACTTCCCGGCGGTGCTGCGCTGGTTCGCGGAGCGTGTGGACCGCATCATCCTGCTGTTCGACGCCCACAAACTGGAGATCTCGGACGAGTTCTCGGAGGCCATCGGCGCCCTGAAGGGCAACGAGGACAAGCTGCGGGTGGTGCTGAACAAGGCCGACATGGTGGGCACCCAGCAGCTGATGCGGGTCTACGGGGCGCTCATGTGGTCCCTGGGGAAAGTGTTCGGCACCCCGGAGGTCCTGCGCGTCTACATCGGCTCCTTCTGGTCGGAGCCGCTGCTGGTGCCTGATAACAGGAAGCTGTTTGAGCTGGAGGAGGAGGATTTGTTCGCCGACATCCAAAACCTCCCTCGCAACGCAGCTCTACGCAAACTCAACGACCTGGTGAAGAGGGCGCGTCTGGTCAGGGTAGGCGAGCCGGAGGTTCTCTCTGCAAAAGCACTAAACACCACCAAGCATCGTTAGCTAATTTCTAGTGAAAATATCTTGATACACTTAAAATAAGACAAAACTAACTTAAAAGTAACTTTTCAGCAAAATATAAGAGCCTGTTTACAGTGAATATTTCCATAATACTGATGAAAAATAAACATTTTCCCATGTTACAAATGAAATAATGAGCCAGTGGAACAAGCTCATATTTCTTGCTGAAATGTTATTTTTGTTTTATTTCAAGTGTGCTAAGATGTTTTCCCTATAAATTAGACAAAAATACTTGGTAATATTTTGTGTTTTTGCAGTGCTGGACTTTACTCCAACGTTCCCCCTGAAGTAGTGAACCAACCGGGCTTCTCTTCCTGCAGGTTCATGCTCATATCATCAGCTACCTGAAGCAGGAGATGCCGTCTGTCTTCAGGAAGGACAACAAGAAGAAGCATCTCATCCATGAGCTGCCAGTGATCTTCTCTAAGATCCAGCTGCAGCACAACATTTCTGCAGGAGACTTCCCCGACTGCGCCAAGATGCAGGTCAGTCCTTAAGTTTTGCACATTTTCTCATGTTGCATCCATAAATATCAATGCATGCTGAGGGATTTAGTGTGAAACACAAACAGAAACAAGTGCATAATTGTGAAGTGGAGGAAAAATGAAATACTTTATGACAGACCATCATCGTGTTTCTCTGATGGTGTGACAAGTGAGCCTCGACTTACAGGAACTCAGTGTTTCTGCTGATTTGCAGTTTTCCAGACGCTTATCCCAGATTAATGTTCGTTTACTTAATGTGGGACACGTCATGCTAAATTTCTGTACTTCCATTCGGGTCTCAACTGTTTCTAAAATAACAGCCTGAGTGCTTAAAAAAAACAACCCAGCAGTTTCTGGCGATGAGTTCATGTTTTTGGTGTCTGGAAAACGATCCAATTCAAAAACCTTCCAAACGTAACGTTACAGATCAGCAGGCCCGTTGCTTAGCAACCCAGAAGCCCAGCCCGTTGCCTAGCAACCCAGTTACCTAGCAACCCAGTTACCTAGCAACCCCAGCTGAGTTCCAAGACTTTTGGTCAGCTCTGGATGCACTGTAAAAACACAAAATCTTACCAAGCATTTTGGTCTAGTATCTAAATATCTTAAATAAATATTTCACTTATACTAACTTAAACGTAACTTTTCAGCAAGACATAGGAGCTTGTTTAAAGTCAATAGTTTCCTAATAAAGTTTAAAAAAAACAGCACTGGTTTGATGGGCAGATTATTTAACTTATTATTTGATAAAAATGTCTTGTTATAAGTGAAATGATCTGCTAGTAGAAGTGGTAACAATCTCTTGTATCTTACTTGTAAATTAGTTTTGTCTCATTTCAAGAGTGCTAAGATATGTGCAGAAGAACGTAGACTAAAAAACTTTGGTAAGATTTTGTGTTTTTGTAGTGTGGCAGCTCAGAAGATGAATTAGAGTGGAAACAACTTCTGCACTGCAAAAACACAAAATCTCACCGTCTAGTTTCTAGACGGTGAAACTAGATGGTAACTTACCTTCCTGATAAGTTACAAGTAACTCAAGTTACTTGTAACCAGAGGGGAAGTTACAAGTAACTTATCAGGAAGACAGTGGAGCTTGTTTTAAACTAATAATTACTTAAAACTGATAAAAGTTCTAGTTCTACTGGCAGATTATTTCACTTGCAACACAGTAAAAATGTCTTGTTATAAGTGAGATAATCTGCAAATGGAATTAGAACTTTTTAAAATCAATATAAAGGAATTATTGTTTTAAAACAAGCTGTTACGTCTTGCTGAAAAGTTACTTGTAAGTTTGTTTTGTCTTATTCCAAGAGCCCAAAAATATTTGCAGAAGAAACTAGAGCAAAACCTACGTGGTCAGATTCTGTGTTTTTGCAATGTGTTCATTTAATCTGCCAGTGAACGAATCAACGCTGCTGATTTCTCACAGGAACAACTGATGGCTCACGATTTCACCAAGTTCAAAAGCTTGAAGCCGAACCTGATGGCGGCGCTGGACGAGCTGCTGTCCTCCGACATCGCCAAGCTGATGCCGCTGCTGCGCCAGGAGGAGCTGGAAGCCGGAGACCAGCCCGGCGTCCAGGGCGGCGCCTTCCTGGGGGGCCGGGCCGGGCCCTTCACAGAGGGCGACCCGTTCGCCGAGGAGAACGGCGAGGAACGCGAGGAAGACGAGGACTGGGTGGTGACCAAAGACAAGCCCAAGTACGACGAAATCTTCTACAACTTGGCGCCCAACGAGGGCAAACTGAGCGGCACCAAGGCCAAGGACTGGATGGTGAGCACGCGCCTGCCCAACTCGGTGCTGGGCCGCATCTGGAAGCTGTCGGACGTGGACCGCGACGGCATGCTGGATGACGAGGAGTTCGCCCTGGCCAGCCATCTGATCGAGGTGAAGCTGGAGGGCCACGGTCTTCCTCCAGAGCTGCCCAGCCGCCTCATCCCGCCGTCCAAACGCAGGCAGAAGGGATCGGATGCTTAGAAACGCAGCAGCAGCCCGACGGATCCCGCAGCTGTTTGTTAGAGTCAGGGCCTCACTAGGAAAATAAGACAATATTATCACGGGAATGAAGTTATAAAATATTATGATTTTTTCCCCCTCTGGTTGTTTTATGACTTTATTCCCGTAATTTTGTTTTTGATTTTTCCTTAGTATGGCCTTCATTCTCCATTGTACTTATCTCCTCCACCCCATGAAAATGTTTTATCTACATTGCTGTGCAAAAGATGTGCCTTCTAAAGAGTCCATTTTATAATTAAAATTAAGGTTTATCAACCCAACAGTGGTGACCCAAAGGGGGGGTCACGAGGTGCCATGGCCCCTATTCAAAAATGTTGGCCACGTCCCTGTCCCCAGCCAGAGAATCGTGTTCAGACGTCATCTTCTTCAATCCAAACATGTATTTAAAACTCAAACAAATGTATAAAATTGAGAAAATATATATATTTTTAATTTTAATATAAACAAATACACATATATTTTTTCTTTTGTTCTTTTTAACTATGCCACCCTGAGGTTTTCTTGAGGTCCCATAGCATTTACACTTTAAAACAGTTGCAATAAGGGTTTGTTGTGTCATTTGTGAAAGAGAAATACAAAAAATAGAAATATAGCTGAAAAAATTAATTTAATCTTAAATTACATAAATTCTTTAGTGACTTAAGATGTTATTGCAACGTGTGATAACTTAGCTCCGCCCCTGGACAAATTAGAAAAGATTCCACTGAAGTGGGCGGGGCCAATATACAGAGGGGTGGAGCTAATATATAGGGGCGGGGCTCAGATACTGGGGGCGTGGCTAAGAGTGAGGATGAGCAGACTGGGCTGGAAGTATCAGTTTCTTTTCTTTTTTAGACCCCTGAAGTGACTTTTTTTTTTTCCAAATAAGTGACAAATATAGACTTTTTTTCTGTTGTAGATTTTTATGGCGACATCGCTCTGTATCTGAAAAAAACAACAACAAAAAATAGACTAAAAAAGCCTTTAAAGTCTGGCTGCTTTGAGGCAAAACATAAATTAACTTTTGCACAGTGTTGTATAATTTCCTTGAGACTGTACTCTGACGCAGCTGAACGTATTTTATTTAAGCGTAACTTTCTGTAAGTTACCCAGTTTGGCTGCTTCCTCTCTTTCTGCTCTTAAAAACAAGCTTTTGAAAATGTTTCCACTCGTGTTTGCAGAAGGTGAACACTTTGAGAGCTCTTTCTAGAAAAATATAGTCTTTAAATGTAACAATTAGATTCTCAGTGGTAATTTCATCATGAAGTTATTCTGCTTGGCACTTTTATGTCCCTTCCACATTTGCAGGACCAGCTTAGCTCACATGATGCGTTTCTAGCATTTTCTATAAAAAGAAAGCAGCTCAAATCTAATGTATTTCACTTTGATGCGTCACATGGTTTTGTGCAAACCCTATATGGTATTATTTTCTTCTTTTTTTTGTATTTTAACTGTTGCTTTTAATGTGCAGGAGCAAGTTGCGTAAAAGAACATTACAAGAAGACTGAATGACTGATAAGTTACTGACTACTGTACTCTGCTCCACCAATTGTTTGTATGTTTACTATTATTGCAAACAAATAAAATTCCTTGACTGTGACACGTTTCTAGCAGTATTAGTGTTTTCATGTTTTGTCCTAGTGCAATTTAAACCTTAATATATTTTCTTGTGACTTGAGGTGACAAAGCAGCCAATCAGACGTCAGGATGTCCTCTAATCCCGCCCACTGAGTTTGGCAAGCGAAGTTGACTGTTCAGCAAAGGAACAAGAAATAATTGAATAAATCATAAAATATCTAGTTTTTAAAATTAAATCAAATTTAATTGTAATTTATCTTAATTGAGGTACATATATTGAATTCTACATTTTGTCGTTTTTGTATTTCCAGTTTAAAAAATTAAATGACATATTAGAATTGTTTCATGATTTATTGTGATTTGGCACTCTTCACCTTCCATATGTTTGCAGCATAAAGGTGGATATTTGCATATTTTGGTAGTAAACAGATACCAAGTAAACAAATACTGCTGATATTGACACTTATACAGATAATATAATAACTACTGAATAGTATATCATACTTGGAACTTTAGGTGTTTTAGTGATTTTTTTTTCCATTTAATTATTTTTGTTAAAATATAGAACAGAATTTAGATAAAGTTTATAATTGTCTACAAAATATATTAAAAAAATATGAACAATAGAAAGAAAAAACTAATTTTGAACACTGTTTTCTAAATAAAGTGAAATCAAGTGAATTATTTTTTATGGTGGCATTGAGAAACTAGAATGCAAAAATACAAATATTAAGATGGAATCTGGGATTAAAGTATCATACGGAGCTAGATTGGGGCCATAAAGTTTGTTCTAAAAAAAAAAAAAGAAAAAATTAACTTAAAAAGGATTTGAAACTGAAAATTATTAAAAATTACTTTTAAAATTCAAAGACGTTTTTCAGTTTATTTTTTTTTTCTTCTTTAAAAACAAACTTTGTGGTCTCAATTTAGCTCCATATATGGATCTCCTTTGGATCCATCTTCCCTCCTCTAGTTTCTGCTAGTAGATATCTGATTGGTAAACTATTCAGAAAACTACTGATCACTTTGCTCACATTTGTCTCCCATATAAAAGTTTTGGTTGCATTAAAAAGGTTCAGAATGCTTATTATGCAAGCTGTGGACAAAGAAGGCTTTAAAAATGAGCAAAGTAAGAACTGAGTGTATCTGATTTTTTCCCCCATCAGGCCTTTTCTGTCTCCTGGTGACAGGCCAGATAAACAGTGACTCACACTCTCCATTGCCAGGTCCCCATACATACCACCATTTTCCAAACCTCTCTCTATGGCAAGCCATTTTAACATAAAATCAGTTTAACATTACTCTCCATAACTACTTTGTAGATATCTAAAAATGTATTTTTACTCGACACATTTTCACTATCTTGACTGGTGAATTATTATATCTACATTCACATTCTGAATAGTAAGAATAATCGTTGAAGATATCTTCAGCTGCATTTTGACGAGTTCCTTTCAAGGCATCAATTGAAGGGTCTCATCTATAATTATTCTAGTTTCAGATTTCTTTAATGAGAATCGAACTGATCAGACTGGAAAGTGAGATATCTTAAATTTACTTTATGACAATTCATAATTTTATTTTTGGTTTCTGAAATATATATGTTTCAGAGAGTCAGCAATTAATTCCAAATATCTTGAATTAAAGCTTCCATATAAAGTAATGGTGAATCTGACATCATTTTTGCTTGTCAGTAATCTCAAGTTCGTATTTTGTCTGATCAAAATGTGTTATGTTTATAGTCATGAGACAATTTCAAATATCTGGATTGTAAGTGCACTGTAAAAACTCATCTAGTGCAAATATATTAGTACAGTTAAAATTAGACAAAACTAACTTACAGGTGACTTTCCAGAAAGTTAAATGAGCTTGTTTTAAGTAAGTAATTCCTCAATAATGACTGTTTTATTATAGGATTTTTTTTCCTTATGTAACACATTTTTTCTGTATTATAAACCTTCTTTTCTTTTTTTTTAAATCAATATTTATTTAAAACAAGCTCCTATATCTTGCTGAATATTTACTTTTAAGCTAGTTTTGGCTTATACCAACTGGAACAACTGTGTTTTTGCAGTGAGATGAGACCGATTTTATGTTATAACAGCTTGCCATACAGTGAGGCCTTCATCTCCCTCTCCCGTACTGTATTCGTTCAACCTCATCTCAGCTAAGTTTTCCTCTAATGCTCTTACAGTAATGACTTGTTTTTTGTTTTTGTTTTTTTGGTTTAAACTTTGTAACTATGAGCAACCAGTCGAGAATCCCGTGGAAAACCACGAGGACTTCCGAGGTTTCCTAATGACGCTCCACTCCTGCGTGGAAACAAATGAGAAGCAGAGGCAACCCGGCGCTCTCCTCCGTCTGCCTTACAGTGACTCACATGTGAAGAATGTGGTGGGCCGGTCCTGCAGTTATTAATATCTCCTTTCCCGGGGTCCGCTCATTCCCACTGTACCTGTATGAAAGATTTCCCTGTTTGAAGGGTCTGAGTGGAAGGACGCCACACCCTCTACTGTGTGTTTTGAGAAGGAAAATCTGAGCTAATGTGCAAAACAAGATCACATCCAGCATAAACGAACCTTATTTGGTCACAAACTCATTTTATTCTCAGGGTGTTCAAAAAGCAGAGTGAAGGAGAATCGAGCTCTGCGTGACTGAAAAGAGTCACAAACTGTTTCAAACGCTTTCTGCCCACAGCATGTTGTAGCAGGTTGCAGCAAGTTGCAGCAGGTTGCAGCAGGCTGCAGCAGGTTGCAGCAGGCTGCAGCAGGTGACCCCGGCGGCAGCGCTTACTCAACAAAACCGGGGTCTCCGCCTGTGCGTCACGCAGCAGCGGACATGCGGGGATTCCTCACAGCTGCTGCTCTTCTGCGGGGAAGCAGCGACATCTGGTGGAGGAAGGTTTTCCTTTCCGTTCATTTCAACGAGTTTTCACCAGAAAATGAGTCAAAGCCGTTGGATCAGGAGGGTTCAAAGTGCGGCTCTCGGGCCATTTGTGGCCACGGGACTGGTTGTGTGGGGCCCTTGACTTCAAGATAACAAAATAAATTTAGGCAAAATTATCACAAACGTGTAAAATAGTCTTAAAATAGAAAATGTTGGCTTTAACGTGAAGGATTCTCTTCTTGCATTTTTGCTTCAGCCAAATCTGCTTTTAATGAATTCAAAGAAAAAGTCTTGATTTTATTAATTTGAGTTGATTAAACTTTTATTTAATTAATTTTTTTGATTGATGCCTAGAGAATTAGCAAAATTATTTTTAATAGGGCAAACCTGCAGAACCCTTTTTATGTTTTGGATCTAGAATTATTTACATATTTAATTCCAGTAACTACTTTGTTTAATTTATGTACTGAATGTTAAGTTTAGTTTATAATTTAAACACTTTTATTTTGACCCTCCTTTTGGCCCATTTGACAAAAGTTTGGATTCCACTGTGGTATTTAATTCTGTAATGCCCCAAATATGCAAATGATTTGGTAAACTTTTAATCTTTTTTATTATTTCTGCACTTTAAAGCTGCAGTATATCAGTTTTATTTTCATTATTATTTTTTGCACGTGTTAAAACTGTCGCCATGTTGTGACAGTTTAACATGAGTCGAGTTCAGTGGTAACTAGTTACATTTACTTGAGTAAATTTATAGATTCACTGAATTGTCAATCAACCTGTGTACATGCTGCTAAATGTGCTAATGGTGGAGAAACAACTTGCAGTTACAGGAAAACGGTTCATCTGATCACTGACTACGCTAATTGGCTTTAGCATTCATGACAGACTCTGCTGTCAGAAAGAAGTAGCATATTAGAGGTGATTAACAGCGCTAGGCTCATTTAGCTAATAAACTACCAGAAGGCAGAGGAGCTCCATTTTTTTGCAGATTATCTATCTCATGAACTGTCACAACATGGTGACAGTTTTAACAAATATGTATAAACATATTTTGCATATAAGTTACATTCTGCAGCTTTAGGATTCAAGGATTTTTTATTGTCATACTAACTCACATTTGTTTGCAGAACAAAATTTGGAATCTAATCCCAGATTAAGAAGTCTGATATATAAAGTATGTTTTATATATATTTACAGGATTTCCCCCAGAGTATTATAAGCCTGGCGGGCCTTAAATTATTTTTTACGTTTTACATACACAACTTGTAACAACTAAACTAATATTGAATCAACTTCTATATTTTCCTTGTTTTATTTCCATAATTTTGTGTCAACTTCACGTTTTAACACAGAAACAGTGAACCACCTCAGCACTGTTCCCTCCAGGCTTAGCTAGACTTCTGGGGGAAATCCTGTATGTGTGTGTATATAAACAGTCAAAGCAGATTTATACGTTTCAACAAGAACAGAAAAAAATGGTAAGAAAGTTTATTTCTTTTATTCTAAAAGCTAACAAATCACATCAAAAATAGCATTTTTTTCTTCAGTATTAATGTATTTACATGTCTTTCTGCTCTCAGTTACTGAAGTGAACAAAGATGGCACACATGGTAATTAGAAAATATGTAGTTGTGGGAAAAATGGTTGTAATTTTATGTAATTTTTTTCCAACAAATGACAGAAATGTGAGTGAAACCAAAACATTGAAACATCCTGGGAGTGCTTAGAAGCTGAAATGATTTTTGATGTCTTTGATTTGCTTCATCATGTCTCCGATCTGCTGTCCCTGCTCCCTCAGGACGTCCTGGACCACCTTCTTCTGCTGCGCGTTGAGCGGGACGGCCGTCTTGGACGCGGACATCTCCTTGTCCACCTGCGTCTTCTGGTACTCCAGCTTGGTGTTCACCTGCCGGATGCAGTTGTCCAGGTGTTTGAGCTTGTCGCTGACGCTCTGCAGCTCCTTCCTCATGTCCTTCTCGCTGTTGGACAGGACGGGCAGCTGGCTCTGAAGGCTGCACAGAACCTTCTTCACCCGATTCATCAGCGCCTCCTGACGATACTTTGCGTCTTCGTACTTGTCCGCCAACCTCTCCGCCGCTTCCGTCAGACTCTTCCTCTCCTCCCGGCATGACGCCAGCTCCTCCACCTGCTTGACCTTCTGACCCGTCAGGAGTTTCACCCTCCTCTCCATCTCCTCGCGTGCCATGTCCTGCTTCATGATGTATTCCTCGCGGAACACCTGCGAGGCACAATCAACAGTTTACCATTGGAAAAATCTGAAAGGGCATAATGAGAATCATCCTGTTAAGACACTTTCTGGGTTTCCATTAAATGTGTAACCCCTAATTTTTTTCTGCAGATTAAGTGCATGTATATCAATACCTGGACCTACATATCACATAATATTTATGAATTATTACATTTTATGTTGGTTATGTTACTAATTTATTAAAAGATCCATGCATCCTCACTATACATCAGTAGAGAAGCCTTTACAGAATATATGTAGAAGATATTTTAGTTATATTTGTTTAAAGTATTTTACTGATTTCAATTTTGTGTCTTGATGCAAAATGTTATTTTTTTATTAGCCAAATATTGACAAAGATTTGCCCTCAGTTGTGATGGGAACTAGCTATCGAGATACACATGTAATCAATCATCTTCGTCGCTTATGCCAGTGGAAATATCCGGCTGTTGAACATGTGACTCTGATGACGTAGTTTTGCAAAATTTCAAAATGGCTGAAAAACACCTCAAACAAGCGCAAAAGCTTCTATATGGAAAAACAAGAGTTTTTTTTTTATGTAGTTTTTCCATGAACCTAATCTATTTTCTAATTTCCATTTGCGCAGTCTTATAGTTAATGAAAACGCAGCCAATGGTGGATGGACACTCGCTGCCATTAAGAACCAGAGAAGAAGACCTGCGTGGCTCTGCTGAGGAGCTGCAGACACTCTGCCGGCGGCGTGGACGCCTCCTTGTCACCAGCTTTCAGCACCATGGGGTTGTTGGAGCTCCGCGCCAGGATGCTACGGATGTGCTGCTCAAAGGAGTCGCTGGCCAGGCCGCGGAGGGGCGAGCTGGCGGAACCGGGACCCGGATCGGAGCAAAGTAGCGGTGGAGAGGGAGGACGAATGGAGCTGAGAAGGGGCAACATGATGCACTCATAGCTGGAAGTGATGCAGATCATGGTGGCTCCCAGAGAGAGGTCAGACACGATGAGGAAGCCGCGAACCGGAGCCGAGCGGCGGCTGGGCAGAGGCCGGGTGCAGAGGATGTGCTCCACTATGCAGCGCTTCTCCGCGGCCAGCTCCTGCAGGCTGTCCTTGTCCTCCTCGTTGGATTGGATGAACTTCTGCAGCTTGTTGAGCCAGATGAGCCCCACGCTGTGCACTCCGGCCTCGTGGGTGCAGTGGTACCGCTGTGGACACAGCGGGTCCCGGTGCAGCTTGATGGGGCAGGTGAAGTCAGACTCCTGCGGCTCGTCCTCCTCCGCTGCCACTCTGAGTGTGAGCTCCAGCTCCACGCATTCAAACACGTAGAGAGCCGGAACCGCCTCCGAGCCTCGGATCCACTCCTCCTCCTCCTCACACTCCAGCACCACGCAGTGATACAGCATCCCCGTTTCCGTGGCGATCACCAGGATGCTGGGGACGCATGGCAGGCACAGGACTGCGCATGCGTCGTAGCCGTAGTTGTCCTCCGCGGCGGGATACATGGGTAGTGGTCCGACCGGTTTGCTCACGCTGAGGACGGTTGCATAGCTGGTGTAACTCACGTAGGTTTCCCCGTTTTCATAGAGGATGTAGAGGGGATACATCGGTTGGTTTTTGGAGCACTGCGCAGCCAGCTGCCGCGGAGGACCGGAAGCCGAACCGAAGTCGAAGGCGACTGCAATTTCTCCGAGAGACGCGGCGTAGGAGCGAACCGGCGGGTGGAGGCTGCTGGTTTCATCCTCCGACTGCGACACGGGCAGCACCTTGGCCGGCGTGTGCGGCGACTTCAGCGCGTAGAATCGGATGGTGTTGTCGGATGTAAGCAGAACCAGGTGGGGCTCGTCGGTTTCGCTCGGGTACCAAGCCGCCTGTCTCAGCTTCACCGACGGGGAGCTGGTGAAGAAGCGCTCCGCCACCGGGATGGTCTTGCAGTTGATCTTTTCCCGGCCGCCCTCGAAGTCGGACCGCTTCCCCCACCGCTGAGGGAGCTCCATAACCGAAACTCCTCTCTGGCCGACCAGCGCGACGAGGTGCTGCGTGGGGCTCAGCAGCAGCTGACACACCTGGAACAGAGGCGGGTTGATGCACTGCAGCGTCTGGTACTTCCCGCTGCTGTCGGACTCCGCGGAGTTCAACTGCCGGAGGTTGGTGGTGTAAAACACGCCTTCAGAGTCGTCCCACAGGAAAAAGTCTCCACCCAGACTAAACGTAAGGTTCTTGGCCGTTTCGTTTTCATTTCTCTCGGACTCCGGGTCCAGCCTCTCTCGTATCTTCTTGAAAATAGTGTGATTTGGTAAATCATTCAGCCACCGATCTGCGCCGAACGCCGCCATCTTGATCAACTGACCTAACATTCGTCATCAGCGTCTTCTTTGTGTTTGACAAGGCTTTGCAGCCATGTTCACAGGGCATTACAGCCACCTGCCGGCAGAGGTTTGTACTACAAGTTGACTTCCAGTTTCCTTGAAAATCTCACAATAAAAATATGAAGAACTAAACTGTATGACTTATTAATAATTCTGCCATGTAACCCATTATCACTGGCAATTACATTTTACCATGATGCAACCTAAACACATCATATTTGAATTATACAGTAGATCGTCAAGAAATTCTAAAAAATCAGACAACACACTAATTACTGTCATTGCGTGACAACAATCAAGACCAGATGTCATTTCAGAGGCAAGACCATAGAACTATAAACATTACATGGAAATATGTATGTGAGTAACCTTTATTCAATCAGGTATGTCTCATTGAGATTAGAAATCTCTTTTTCAAGCAAGACCTGGTTGATATCCCTCTGCAAAGCTGTAAATATGACAACAGGACAACGAAATAGAGTTTCGGGGGAAAAAATGCACGCAAAAAGATAGATATAGTAAAACAGTTGTAACTGTATTTACATCTCACAAAAATATTGAGACTTTGACCCTGATATTATATTATATTATTATATTATATTATATTATATTATATTATATTATATTATATTATATTATATTATATTTTCTGTGCAATCATTCAACAGACCTGTCAGGTTCCCTTCCCAATATGGCGGACTATTTTAACGTTCCGGGCTGATAGGTACCCATCAGTTCCATGCTGCCCTTGGCAACGCCTCCTAACGTATGACTGTGGCCCGGTGTCGTACATTTTGCAGACTCACCATGGCGTTGAAAGAGACAGCGGGGCTGTATGAGACTCTGAAAGCTGAGTGGAACAAGAAAAACCCGAACCTGAATAAATGTGGGGACCTTCTGAGCAAGCTGAAGGTGACAGATCTGTCTGGTTTATTCATTTGTTTTTGTTTGAGTAAAATCGGGATTTATTTCGACACTCTGAAGCTGGATTAGCTAACAGAGCTAGCATGCTAACATCTTAGCTTAGTAGAGGTAATGTTTTGCAGTTAGTATGATATCTACATTTGATTCTAGTCTTATCTACTTTTGTAATAACCTTTATTTATATTTATATTTTTACGCTAAGGCATTTTAAAAGTCGTTTTAAAACTGAAATTACAGCTCGATAAACAAATGTATAATGTGTTCTTTGAGGTGCTTCTGTATTGAAAACATCTAATCTGATTAAATATGGAATAATTATTCGTATATTTAGAAGAAGATGTATATTTTTCTACTTGTACGGATAATTTAAATGCTAAATTACACAAAGATAAACTCTAAAAGCGTTTATATATGCATTAAGCTTTTTACTGTTAAAGCTCAACAACACTAATATTAATTAATGTACCTTTTGATTAAATCTGGGATTATAACAGAAACCTGATTGTTGGAGTTATTTTGCAGGCATTTTGAAATTATTTAGTCATTATTACTTACCTATTGTCTATTAGATTTTTGAGTCGATTGTTTAATTTAGTCCTTTTGGTTCATTTTGTGCTATTTTTCTCACACACACTTTTTAATTCTTTGATTTTTAAAATTAGGTTTTAGTTAAAGAAAATATTCCTCAAATTATAATAACACAGCAACCGTCCACTCAGGCAGTTGAAATATAATTTGTTTGGACAAAAACTGCAGTAAACCATCTTTGCTAATTATTGTTTTTGCAGGTTTCCCTGCTGGATCTGAACTTTTTACCTACCAGTGGCTCTGCGATCACCAAGCAGCAGCTCATTTTAGCTCGTAAGTAAACAGAATCAGGTTGAGCTCCAGTTGTCTTGGAAGACGTTATAATGAAATGTTAGTTTTAATCAGAACTGACTCATGTTTCAGGGGATGTCCTTGAGATCGGAGCCCTGTGGAGCATCCTGAAGAAAGACATCCCGTCTTTTGAGCGATACATGGCTCAGCTAAAGTGTTACTACTTTGACTACAAGTAATGTCCCATGTTTTATCGTTTACATTCTTGTGAGAATTTATTTTGAACACTTGAGTTTGTATTGTAATATATATATATTTTTTTGTCGTTATGTTTTAGGGATGAACTTCCTGCAGCCGCCTACATGCACCAGTTGCTTGGACTCAACTTGCTCTTCCTGCTCTCTCAGAACCGAGTGTCTGAGTTTCACACGGAGCTGGAGAGACTAAGCGCTCGAGACATTCAGACCAACATTTACATCAAACATCCTGTCTCCCTAGAACAGGTGGAGTCATTTATTCCTGCTGGAAGAGAGAACACCAAATTTACTTTTATCAATTACAGATTTGAATTTCATTTTTAATTAATCTGTTCTGACAAGTGGAATAACTAATTTATTTTTATTTTACTGAAAAGAAGAACAGTGTTGATTTTTTTTTTTTTTACAAAAAGAACAGCTTAATTTTTTCTTTTATTTAATTAAATAATAATTAATAACAAAAAGATTAATAATTAAAAATGTTTTTAATTATTTTAGTTTTCATTACCAAAATGAACAGTTTTTTTTTCTTTTAACTGAACTACTTTTTGTTTTATTTTAACAAACAATTCTCTTTATCTAAACAATTTATTTTTAAAAGTACAGTTTGTCTTATTCTTTGAAATAAAAAACTGTTTTGTTTTTAAAGAACTTTTTTATTTATTTAAATAAAATAGTTTCCCTGTTTTTCTATTCTGACACTTTCAGATATTCTTAATGTTGAAAACATCAGATGAAAAAAAAAATCTGTTAGCAACTTTTCATCAGCTGGTTGTTTTTAAGCTTTATGCAGATTTATCAGATTAGTTAAAGCCGCTACAGATTGTAACTTAATCGACTTTCCTCTTCATGCTGTGATACAAGCATCGTTCATGTCCTGTTTTATTCCTCATCTCAGTAAAATGTATTTGCACATTTTTATGTATAATCAGGTAAATAATTTAAAGATAAACTTCCACACAGACGAGCTCTGTGTGTGAAAACAGCTTTATGATCTAATGCCTGCTGTTGGTGGATGTGTTTCTAAAATGTTGTCCATAACAACCCAACCAGATGTGAATAATTAATCCTTCCTCTCTTGTCATCTCAGTACCTGATGGAGGGAAGCTACAACAAGGTTTTCCTCGCCAAAGGAAACATCCCAGCTGAGAGTTACAACTTTTTCATAGATATTCTGCTGGACACCATCCGGTAGGAATCAGATGAATATTAGTGGCTCCCTGCATCTCTTTTTTCATTCTTAGTGGCGAGATCTGACTATTCTTCGCTCAGTAACAACTTCCACACTGAAAATGGTTGTCAGCAACGTTCATGTGTGGTGCAGTCACTGATTGGAAAAGGTCAGGGGTTAAAGGTCAGAGCAAATAGAGCTGAAAACGATCTTACTCTAAATCAGCTGGTCAGCAGCCGATTTATATATAAAATTTTTTTTCTATTTCATCACAACGAGACAAAAGAACAAGATTTTCTACAGATAACACTGAAAAACACAAACTACTACGAAGTATATTTCTTCAGTTCCTAGTGTAATATCTCATTATACGTAAAATAAAACAAAAGTAACTTTTCAGGAGCTTTTAAGTAGGTAACTCCTTAATATTGATAAAAAATACTAGTTAGTATTCAAGCCATTTTTATTTAAATTATTTAATTTAAATAATCTGCCGGTGGCTCTAATACTTTTCTTTTTACATTTTTAAAACAAAATTTGATCAGTAAATGGAGGAATATTTTATTCCCCGATTTAAAAGAATCATGCTTCTGCAGTTTGGTAAGTTATATTATAACTTTATAATATATAATTTGAGTTAGAAACAAAACTCAAAGGATTGTGAAAGTTTATTTTAATGAAACCACTCGCAACTGCAGCTAATATTTATTTTAGTGATCAATTATTCTTAGGATTAATCGATTAATCTGATAAAAAAAATACATTTAGCAGATTTTTCATTAGACCACTTAAGCTTTTTATACAATATTAGAAGAATAAATAAGAAAATTAATTAACATTTGTTACCTAAAATGCAACAACATAACATTCCCTTAGTGAGTGTTTCATATTTTTGAAATAAAAAGTGAATAAGCAGCTGAAGATCACTCCAAACACGAACATGTGAAAAGTTTAACACAAATCAATACAGTGCAGACCAAACTGATCATTTCTTTGGATTAATCAACTGATAATTGGATAATAGGAGCTTTTTACAGAATCTGGAACTGAAACTGTCACTTGAGAAGCTCTGGCTAGAAAATATTCATAGACAAAGAAGATTTTTTTATCTTTTAAATCTGAAATGTGTGAATTTTTCATTCAGATTTTGTTTTAATTACAGCTCTGATTGTGTTGTTCTGTCAGCAAAGGGCTTTTTCTGAGTCTGTATACACCAATTAATAATAATTGGCTGACAGTTATTTAAATAATCAATTATTCACGATTAATCGCTTCAGCCCTGTTGAGGTTAATGTATTTATTCTCTTGCAGTGACGAGATTGCAGGTTGCATAGAAAAGGCCTACGAACAGATCCAGTTCAGTGAAGCGACCAGAGTTCTTTTCTTCAACTCTCCCAAGAAGATGACAGACTACGCCAAGAAGGTAAAACCAACATTTTACGTCACATTAATAAGGACAGAAAGTTCACAGTGTGTTCTCACACGCTGTGAAATATGAACAGCTAAGTTTCTGCACATGAATCGGAGGACGACCCGATGACCTGATGAGGTTTCTGTCCCGTTTGTCCTCAGAGAGGCTGGACTCAGAACCGGGACGGTTACTACACCTTCACCACCCAGCAGCAGCGGACGGAGGAGGTGAACATCCCGTCCACAGAGCTGGCGCAGCAGGTCATCGAATACGCGCGGCACCTGGAAATGATTGTGTAATCCGCCCCCGGGAAACACTCGGCCACGCAGAGACAAACACGCCGCAGCGGCAGGAAGCACCAGACCACTTCGAACTCCAGCGCCGCCGTTCCCTCAGGGCGGATCTGCAGACCAAACTGAGTTTAATCTGGATTATTTTCAACATTTACCTTGGACGTTTTTGTTTTTTAAGCTTGATTAAACGCATAGAACTTTTTATTTTCTTCTTTACTTTCAGAAATGTAATTTTTTTGTGCCCACAACTGAAAAACGCCATTAAAATTTGTTTTCTAACCAGTGATGTCACTTCCTCCCCAGACGGTTTATAACAAAATTGTTTGCAATAAACTGTTCAGAAAATAATCCTTAATTTATCTATGAATTTATTTAGCTCTATTGCTTCATCATATCTAACTTGATTTTCAAAATTTTCTTTTGAAAAGAAATTCAACTCACTGAACTCAGAAAAGATCCTGCAGGAGATTCATAGAAGGTTTTTAACAAATTATAAGCAGAAAGTGCAAATTTTGTTAGTTTTACTTTGTCTCAACCATATTCACATCCACAATTCAAATATATATTTAGAAAACCATTTGTTTTTGAGTAGCAGGTAGGCAGAAGAATGAACTTATTTAATCCTTTTCTTACTGCACACATTCTGCATTTAATGGGGAAAAGAATTAACACGTATATGTAAAAATAAGTTTTATTTTTGAATTATATATATATATAATTATTTTTGCATCAGAGATAAAGGATAGAAGTCAGTTCTTTAAAGCAAACAAATCCACCAAAAACAAACCGTCTTCACAGTGGTGGAGTCGGTTTCACTCCGTTTCTACCATCAACATTAATTCTTCCACCAAATAACCACCTAAAGGGACGGTATTACATGTTTTCCAGAGGCAGCGCCATTTTATAGCACAATCAAGTTACTATGTTAACTGAAGTTGTTACAAAAATGCTACATATGTCAGATATGACTTAACAGAAATGTTCATTCCTGATTCAACACCTTGAAATTGGGTCTCTGTCTCTTTAAAAACTCCTGCTCATTCTGAAACTCTGCCTTCAGGAAGTCGTCACAACATGGCTCCGGTTAACCCGTTAATGTGACTCCGGTTAACCCGTTAATTGTTGCCAGCGATTACGCCAGGGGTTTGCTAATTGCTGCTGGCTAGTCTGAAGGAGCTGAGTGGGGAAGTTGTATGGGAGGAGCTAGGTCTTGAATAACATGAGTTATTTTCCTGCTACAGGCAAATCAATTGACATTTTAAGACTATTATGAAATAAACAAAAATATTTACAAATATACAAAAAATATTTCACTCCATTAATTGGTATAGAATGTTATTTTCCTCCCACAGGCGAAATAATCACCATTTTAAACTATTAAAGAAAGTAAAACAAATATTTACGTATATTTTAGTTTTTTTAAATAAAATATGTAACTTTGGTCATTTTCGGAGAATCAATCAAAAGGTATTCATGTTTTATGAATACAAATGCATGCCACACTTTTCAGATGTATTCACAATTAGCAAATCCCCTTATTTTTAGTCTAATACACAAGGTCTCGGGAAAAAAAAAGAAACACATTGAAAAAGTTCAGGACGAATTAATTTGACTGTTGGAATAAAGTTCCTACTGCGCAGGCGCAGTAAGGAGCGCCGCCGGTCGCTGTCCGGGGTGCTGAAACCTTCACGCCATTAATGACTATATTTATTTTCCTCCTACATGCAATTTTCAAACATTTTTAAAAAATAAAACAAAAACATTTTTATATATTTTTAAATTGCATAATAAAATATTTTGTTTAATTTTCATTCATGTTTCATGAGTCCAAACGCATGCCACACTTTTCAGATGCTTTATTAATTATTCATCTCACAAGTATACATTTGTATCTTTTGGTTTGTTACATAGGACAATTAAAAAAAACAAACAAACATTGAAAAAGTCCAAAAGGAATGAATTTAACTTAGAATGAAGTTCCTACTGCGCAGGCGCAGTAAGGAGCGCCGCCTGTCGCTGTCCGCGGTTCTGAAACCTTCACGCCATTAATGACTACAGGAAGTTATTTACCTCCTAAAGTCAATTTAAAAAACTAAATGTGAATCAAACAAAAATATGTATAGTTATATATATTATTTAAAACTGAAATAAAATCAGAGGATCAACCAGAGGTCATTCATGCTTTTTGACACCAGCAGATAGAAAACCTGCTCCGATCGTTTACAGAGTGCTGTGGGAAAGTGAGCGGCCCACCAAGAGCGGAGATGCTGTCAATGATTAGTGCGGATGTGCTGGCACAGGGCAGGTAGAGGGAGAGGAAGAGAGGGAGGAAGAGGAGGCAGGCAGGGAGGGAGGGAGGGAAGAAGGAAGGGAGGCAGGGAGGGAAGGAGGGAGGATGCTGCCAGCGGAAAATGGCTGCTGCAACCTCAAGCCTATCCTGATACACCGAAACGACATCAAGGTGGAGAGAGTAAGAGAGAGAGAGCGAGAGAGGGGAAGATTAGGAAAATGAGAGCAGATGGAGAGAGAATGTGAAGCGAGTCTGAGTGTTTCCTGAAAGGAGGAAATAAAAAGAAGAGGGGGAGAGGAGAGCCTGGGGTGGGCTGCTGCAAGCGGCGGGCAACACCGAGCCATGGAGGGCGAGTAAGTCCTTATTTTTATTCCTTCCATCCCTCATTTCCACAGGAACAAACAGCAGCAGCAGCAGCAGCAGCTGCTGCAGCATCCAGGCTGTTAGCGCTCGGCGCTGCGCGGCTCAGCGAGCAGCCGAGAATAAAAACACCATTACGTCGTCCTGGATCAACAGCATACACCCCACACCCGATACATCCACGCCGCTGTGTGATAAATGTGCGGCCACATTCATGCAGGAGCCGCCGCTCGTTCATTACACGCCAGAAAAAGGAGACGCGCACACACTCAACACACATTCAACACACACTCAGAGTGAGAAAGAGCGCGTTTTAAAAGCCAAACCCGAAGCCATGCAACGGTTCTGATTCTGCTGCTTTAAAAACTAAATCAGCCAGTGTGTAAAATGCACGAAGGGGAGAGAGGAGGAGGAAAAAGAGGAGTTTAAGGGCCAGCATCGCGTCATTAAAGTGGGATGAAGGAGGGATGGAGGCGCTGTGATTTTTATCAACGTGTCTCGGGGTTTCATTATGATTTTTAAAGCCAAACTTTATGAATGAAATGTGATTTTTCTCTCTCTCTCTTTCTCTCTCTCTCTCCCTTATTCTCACCCCTCCTCTCATTCTTCCCTTTTCTAATCGGCCCCCTCCCCCCATCTCTCGCGTCTCCTCTCTCCATCCTCTCACCCACTCGTTCTTCTCTTTCCATTCCTCCTTCGGCTCCTTCTCTCGTTCCCACCTTCAGGCCCGACTCTTGTTGCTTCCATTGTTGTGGTTCTTGCGTTTTGTCGCCTTCATTTCTGCGGCCCGTCTGACGGCGCAGTGCGAACCCGAAGCCCGGTCCCATTCATAAAAACATGTAACATGACATCGGGGTGTGTTGAGTCCGCGCAGCAGCAGCAGCAGCAGCAGGGGCGGAATGGAGACCGAACAAGCGCAACAATGAAAACACAACAACACGACGGGAACAGACGGGATGTGAGGGGAGAAATGGCGAATTTCAATTTCATTCATGCGTTGGGGGGCAAAATGCGGCTCTGAATTATTCATCCGAATGGCGAGTGTGCTGCTCTTTTATTTATTTATTTTGGTCGCTTTGCCAGAATGCCTGGGCCTCTGATGTCGAATGAGTGCGTTCATTGATACGTCTCTATGTGGGAAACACTCATTCTTCCTCCCTCCTCCCATCCCGTCCTCCTCGGCGGACTCTCTGTCCATTTGCTTCCACATTTCTCCACAGATTATTGGGGCATTTTTAGCGGGTTGGGGGTAAAAATGAGGCGTTAGAATGAGGAGAAAATGCCCTGCGAGGCCCTTTAAAGCAACACAGTCAGAAATCCAGCAGCTCTTTGTGTGAATGTTGCCATGTTGCATCTTCATTCATACAGAAATCCCCATGGATGCGTTTTTTTTTTAATTGGTGTTATTCAACTGTTTCAGGATTTATGTGCACTGTAAAACGGGATTGTTCAACAACATCAAGTTAAAAAAAATTGAAATTTGTTCGTTTGATTTGGGAAAATAAAATAGCTTCCAGTTAAGCACCCAGAAATAATTACATGCTTTGGAAATAATAACCAAATTATTTTGGTGTATATGTATAAATAAATAAATGAATAAATGTATTTTAAAAACAAATGCACTGAACCCCATTGAAAACCTCCTGGTTTTTCCACCATGTACTGATTTCTGACTCTTCCTCTGTATTGTTGTTTCTAAATTAATATCAACTTGTTTTTTTCTTTCCATTATTTGAGGTCTGTATCTGTTTTGTCATTTTCTGCAATTAAATACCACATTTTTGTTTTGAATTTCAGAGACATGTTGTCAGTAGTTCTTAGAATAAAAGCACAATGTTTATTTCACTCAAACATAAACCTATAAAGAGTAAAATCAGACAACCTGATCGTCTTAAATTGGTCTCTTAATGTTCTCCAGAGCTGTAAATATGTTCGTTTTACTTGATTTTGTTAAAGTTGAACCGTTCCTGTAAAAATCTTGAGTTGATTTTGGGTCAATTTCTGTAAAAACTCTGACAAAACCAGCTTATTTTCTCTGGGTTCACATTATTAAAATATCTCTTCCTGTCAATATTTGATCTTCCGTTCATAAGCAGCTTCGTTTATAAATGCTGTTTTTTGTCGCTGTTTCCTGAACGACGTTTTTAAGCTTAAATTACGCATTTTTGAGTGAAGCAAAGAACTTCAAACTCAAATCTGATGGAACAAAGAGACGGAGAGTTTCTAATCAAAGTAATGAACAGCATTTATAGGTCACTGCAAAAACAAAATCTTATCAAGTATTTCTGACTTGTTTTTAATGCAAACATTTTAGTTACTTGAAATTAGACAAAACTAACTTTCAGTAACTTTTGAGCAAGATAGAGGAGATAATTTGAAGTAAATATTGATGAAAAAGTTCTGGCAGATAATTTCACTTATAAAAATAAAATTTTCCCGTGTTATAAATTAAATAATTTGCCGAGAACCAGAACTTTTTTTGCCAATTTTAAAGATCTATTCAGTAAAAAAAAAAATCTCCTGTTTCTTGCTTAAAACTTACTTATTAGTTAGTTTCATATTATTTAAAGTAACTAAGATATTTGCATGAGAAACTAAACTAAAATTACTTGGTAAGATTTTGTGTTTTTGAAGCTTTGAACTGCAGCTGCTGCTTTTGCTAACATAAGAAATTAGGAAAAAGTTTCAGTTGTTTTTAAATTGAGAAATATATTCATTAAATTTTGTTTTTCATTACACAGCTGGAAGTCATGAGGGAAAGATGTAAAAAAAAAAAAGAATCTGATTACAAAAATGTGCTTTTATAAAACAATAAGTTGCTGTAAACACAGTTTTTATTGTTGATGGGATTCTGTCAGCATCCCAAATCTACAGTTAGTCTCACTAAACGACCGCAAATTTCTGATTCTTCAGGCGACGCCTCTGATTTTCTGACACGTTTAAATTTGCGCGGTGATGTTTTATTTTACAAATGTGGTTCAAAGTTTGAGTTGGGTTTCATCAGAACCTTCTGAGGCATTTTACTCTGGATGTTTTCTGGTTCTGTTTTGTGTAAAATGCAGGTTATAACCAAGTATTTAAATGTTTCTGTGGGTTTCTTGGATTCCTCCACGCCCAGTTCCTGTTTTATCTTTACATCAAGAAACTGGAGAAACAACCAGTTTGGACCTTTCCAGAATTTGCTCCAATCTTCTGGGGAGAAATTTATTTCAAAAGATTTATTCAAAAAGGTTGATAAAACAAGCTTTCACTTAAACAGATTGTTGCAGCTTTTTCACATTTTGTTCGTTTTCCAGTAGAATTTTATTGGATAAATTTCACATTAGATCTGGAAAAATCTTCTATCATATCTCATTTGTTTCATTTTTTCACCTTTAAAGCCTGAGCAGTGTAGACCTTCATAAATACAGATCAAAAATAAAAGTGTGAAAAAGAAGAGCTCTGTAACCATAGTGGTTTATCTGAAAATGAAAATATTCAAGAAAGGAAAGCTGTTAAAGAAATGAAATCTCTGCATCATCAAAAATAGTTGATGACTTTCAGAGGAGCAGGATGCGACTGGGATAATAAGAGCTTTAGCACTTCCTGTCCAGCTTCCTGTTGGTGTTGAACATCTTATTTATGGTTTCTATCTTAAATTAAACGCATGAAAAGTGAAACTAACTACACATGGCTTTGATGGATGCTGGTCTCCATCTTAGTTTCAAGAGTTGAGATTGAAGATTTCCTGCAGAGCTGGTTGTTTCTTAATGTCCAAATTTGGTCACCTTTTCCTGTCGGTGAATGTATTTCATCTCGACCAAAACTTGTTCTCTTAAACTTTCATCTCCATCTACTTTATTAGCTTAGACTGGAAGCTAATCAACAAGATGAACATGTTGAATGACATTTTAATAAATTGTATTAACCTATATTTGATACATTTAAATTCTTTAAACATTGATGATTTAACTTTTAGGGGGCACACATATCGCCCCCTTGTGGCCACGCCCCTCACTTTGAGAAACACTAATCTTGAATATGGAGTCATGCATAAATATATTAGCTTAATTTAAGGTGTTGGATTGTTTCTCTTTAATTTCAAAAGGACACACAATGTATTAGCATCAATTTCTGCTGATATTAGTTATTTTATAACATATCGATATCAGTCTGATTAATAGAACTAGGCTAAATTTAACAACCATTATTTATTTACATTTTGTTGCTGTTTGTGTTTCTGTGCTATTTGTTTGGTGACAGTTATAATGATGGAGCAAAGGATTATGGGATGTTTACCTGAAGCAGAGAACCAGTTCCATCTCTTTTACCCGAAATTTAAATGAATAAAAATATCTATAATATCGGTAAACATTGCTTATCTTCAGTGGCATATGAGAGTAAATTTTAGCACCGAAAAAAAAAACTACAATATTTTGAGATTAATCTCCAGAATTTTCTAGAAATTTGTGAACTCCAAAAGTAAAAAGAATTGCAGAAAAAAAAAACTAGACACAAATTTAGTGTCAAAACTTTTCAGCGCTGAAATTTTCACTCTTTTCTTAATATCAAAATGTAAGTTTTTTTTTCTTATTTTTTTTTAACTTATCTACAATTTGTTTTGTAACTCAGAAAATTTCTTAGTTTTTTCTAAAAATGTTCTGAAATTAAGCTGAAACATTATTCTAGTGAATTTGTTGGAACTCAGAAATGTCCGTATTTTTCTGAGATAAATCTCAAAACATTGGAGTTTTTCTTTTGGTAGAAATGTACTTCTCCTTTATTTTTTGTTGTTTTTTATTGAAAAAAATGGCCCAAATATGCCTTTGTTCTTATTAATATTTTTGCTATTGCAAAATAACAACGCAAATTAGTGACTACAGTGAGGAACTTATGTCAAAAAACAAAAAAGTAGCGCTAAAGTTAGCTTTAGCATCGAAACAAAACAAGCATCTGACCTATTGAAATACATACAGTGTGTCATTTCTACATTTTTAAAAGTGTTTTTAAGTGTTTCTTACGTGTAAGCAGCGCTTTGTGGTCTGGTTCCCGCCAGTGTGCGTGTTCGTGCGGTGGTGCTGACACGTGATGACTCCAGTGGCGGTTGGGTGTCCCTCGGAGGAGGCGGGCTCAGTCACGTGGTCATATGCAAGGGGCGGAGCCTAGACGGCAGGGGGCGCAGGGAGTACATCATCCGAGGAGAGCGCCTGCGCGACCAAGCAGTGAGTGTGTGCGTGTGTTACGGAGGCACGTCAACACCACCTAAAAGCGGGGGTGTCCAAGGTGTGGCTCGCGGGCCATTTGTAGCCCTTAAAGTGTTCTTGTGTGGTCCCTCACTGCATTTAAAAAATGAAACATCTTTGGTCAACAGAGGCAGGCGGAGAGTTCTAAAATGATCATTTTCTTACAAATTATTTGTCTAGTCAAAAAGTAAATCCATGTTTATCCAGAGACTTTTGCTGCACCAAAATCAATTTTATTTTTATTTATTTATTTTTCTTTTTATTAAACTTGAGTAAAACTAGGAAGTGTTTTGAAAGAAAGTGAACCAGATTCTGGTATTATTACTGAAAATAAGTTATTCAATTGAGCTCAGAATAAACTGAAAACGAGATGCCTTTTTTAATACAATGCAAATGCAGAATCTACAATAGCAAATTGGGGTCTGTAGAGAAAAAAAGGAGCAAATTCTTTACTCCAAAACTCAGAATTTTTTAGATTAATCTAAAAATCTATCTATGAAACAAAAAAGAAAATTTTTTTTTTGAATTTTAAATGTTGAATTTTTGTTTTTTTTACTTTTGAAACTCAAAAAATATCTATTTTTTTCTGGAAGAACTTTGAAATTCCAACATTTCTGTAATCTTTGGTGAAAATGTATTATTATTATTATTATTATTATTATTATTATTATTATTATTATTATTATTATTATTATTATTATTATTATTATTTACAATGGCCCTAATACACAATCATAAAAATTTCTTTCAAGTTTTGGATCTGCAATAAATTAAACAAAACAAAATGTTGCTACTTTATTTGCTTGATTTTACGTTGGTTTTTTTTTTCACCAATGACTCATTTGAGTCAATAATTTTAGCTCACATGACAAAGACTGTAGTGACATTCAGAGGCAGGTAGAGGAGCCGAGAGTAGCACTATTATGTTTGCTGAAGTAAAAGTAAAGAGAAGAGTCAAAAAGTATTTGGTAAATGACTGATCAAAAACATCAGTAATTTGACGGGACGCCATATAATCACATTTATATTAATCAAATGAAACGCTGACTTAAAGGAATTCAGTGTTTCAGCTGTTTTTCAGTTTTCTTTAAGTTTGTTCCAGATTTATGGTGTGTAGAATCTGAAAGCTGCTTCTCCTTGTTTGTCTCTGGTTCTGGGAATGCAGACCAGAACCAGAACCAGAAGACCTGAGAGGTCTGGACGGTTATTATGACAACAGCAGCAGATCTTTAATGTATTGTGGTGCTTCAGTGATTTATAAACTAGCAGCAGTATTTCAAACACTGTTCTCTGAGCTACAGGAAACCAGTTTGGGGCTTTAGAGCTGGATGATGTGCTCTAACTTCCTGGTTTTAGTCAGAACACCAGCAGTAGCGTTCAGGAACAGCTGAAGCTTATGCAGATCTATCTCCACATTAGCCTTCTAATCCTGGAAATGTTCTTGAGATGATAGAAGGTCGACTTTGTCACTGTTTTTATGTGGCTCTGAAAGTTCAGAGACCATCTCTGCACCAACATTTCAGCCTAATTTCTCGTTTCCAGCTATAATAACCAAAGACACATGCTTCAACTTTAGCATAAGGTAATTACTCATACAGGATGGATTTAGAACAATGACAGGAGAAAGTTGGGACCCATGTGGAAGCTAAATTTGAATCAATTTGTAGCTAAGACCTTCATAGAGTTCCCAGAGGAAGGGCTTAGATTCAGGCAACCAAATGGGTGCCAAACAAACTTGTGAATTCGTATTTAAGCAACATTTGAATTTTAGTTTTATTTCTCAATAGTTTGTTGATATGCATTACTAGTTATTTTTGGTCCTGCAGCTTGAATGTGGTTCAAAAACTTTTTAAACCTGTTAAACCTGTTTCTGGTCCGCCCCAATAATGAGATGAGATTTACACCCTTGCTTCTGTTTATAATTTGTTAAAAACCTTTTATGAGTCACATGCAGAACCCACTTAGCGCGCGATCTGACCTCTGACCCTTGCTGTTTGCGTCCGCAGCCAGTGCTGGAGTGTGCGGTCCAGAGGGGGCTGGTGTACAACAAGGTGAATCCCATCTTCCATCACTGGAGAGTGGAGGATCAGAAGTTCGGCCTTACTTTCCAGAGTCCTGCCGACGCCATCTCCTTTGAAAAAGGGCTGCAGACCGTCTTAGACAAACTCGACAGAGGTACACCTGCGCAGACACCAACGTCTTAATTTCATTGTTTTAAGTTTGAGCACAATCCTTCCTCTTTTCATCCAGGCTCTGACTCGCCATCGTCGTCCACGCCAGAAGAGGTGGACACGGAAGACGATGGTCAAGTTGTGAGTGTTTTTGATTCCCTTATTGTTTGGCAGCATACAGTACATTCACTTGACTGCTGTATTTAAGTAAATGTTTTGAGCATATCTTCTTTTCTTGAGTCTTTATATATTTATGACTTTGAACAGCAAATCAAAGCCATGCTGAGAAAATGAAAAAATAAATTACATAAGCATAAGGTGACTTTATTCTAAAAATGAAGTGACTTTAATTTTTGAATATGACTTTATTATCATAATTTTATTACTTTATTCTCATAATATTTTGACTTTATTCCCGTTATTTTTTTTTTCTTAGCATGGTCCTAATACTCAATTCCAGTAGAGTTAGGGGGCATTTAGAATAGCAAAGAAGAAACGAAAGCAACTATTTTTTTTAAATTACATTTTTATGCGGTGTAGACGTTTTGGCCAGGAAGTACCGCGCATGCGCTAAAAACTGTGCGGTCTTCGGCGCGTGACGCCCAAACTCTTGCCAGTCCCATACAGGAAGCGAGTCGTCGTCCAACAGCAGGAAGGAGATGCTTCCCAAGCCGATCACCATAGTCACAAGCGAGTCCTCCTCCACCTGCTTCGTGCTGCCCGAAGAGTTCAGCTTTGGCTCCACCCATGCCGTCACCACCCACACACCTGCTCAGGTAAAGAAGACAAACTGCCTCCTTCACAACCACGTCTTGGCTCGTTCCTCCGCTGCAAATGTTCGCAAAACTCTGTGGATGTTCTGCGGTTTTCTTATTTATTCACAATAAATAAGAAAACCGCTTAAAATCACACGTAAATAAGTTTCTTCTTCTTCTTCTTCATCTTTTCTGCTATGGCGGATCATAAGCAACTAAGAGTGTAGAGGCAATTGTTTTGTGAAACTCTGATGCCGACACGTCTTTTTGTTTATTTCATTTATTTAAATAAATAATTGGCGTTTCCATTAAGCAAATGTATTTTTCGTAATTTCAATTTCATGGTCGACGAAAACACAGCTAACAACTTCCGCTGGAGAAAAAGTATAGAAACAAGCAACAAATAAAGAACGATGAAGTAATTCTACTCACCCAATAAAAAATGACCAAAGCAGCTCAGTCTAAATGAAAATAATAATAAAATAAAACAGAAATTCACCTCTGAGTGTTGCTGTAAACATGCCAATAGGGGGCAGTGTTGTGTAAAATTAAAATCAAATTGCTTCAAAAACGACAACAACTTTCTGTTAGGAAATAAACATGGCGCCGCTTCAGAATTTTCATTTTGTGGACAGATGTATATTTGAGCTTTTAAACAGGATATTAGAATATAAAGTTTATAAAACATAATTTAATGCTGATTGGAAATCATGTCTAAAAAAAAGGATATGGATATTTTGGGTCATTATCTGTTGCATGTACATACATAAACATAAATATTGAGTCTCCATTTTGGTTAGAGTTCTTATCAACAATCATTTTTTTGCGGATGAAAGGCCAAAACGCATAAAAGTTTATTCATTTTCCTAGATCATGTGTGGACTAGGCCTAATTCCTGGAAGCAGAGCATTAAAACATGAGGGATGACTCACGACTTTTGCACCAAACTCCATCAGGACATCGTGTCCCACAGACCAGGATCAAAAACCGATGCCTCAGAGGGACATCTCAGGCAGTTTTGAGTTTCCTCAGATGGAAACCTTCTACATTCAGAGCTGCAGTACATCGTGTTCCTGACTCACTGTGTAACCCTACACCCTCTGCACTACAGTGACTCCCTGTAGCTCAGACAATAGACTTTAAAATAGGGATGTTAGTTTATAAATCACTGAACGGCTTAAAGATCTGCTCGGGTTGTATCAACGTTCCGGACCTCTCAGGTCTTCTGGTTCTGCTCTGCATCCTCAGAACCAAATCAGGAGAAGCAGCATTCATCATTTACGCACCGCAAATCTGGGACAAACGTCCAGAAAACTGCAAAACAGTCGAAACACTGAGTTCCTTTAAATCAAAGCGAAAACCCGTCAGTCTAGAGTTGATTTGATTAGCAGGAAGTGGAAGATTAGCTGTGTTTTCATTGAGCAAATAATTCTACAAATTTTGAAAAATAACAATAAAAATAAAGAAATAAAACTTTTTGACAAAAAATGGCTGCATTTAAATTTGTGTATTTTACAAAACTGCAATGGAAAATAGTCATTTTGCATCATGAGTCACATGATCAACAACTTGATGTTATCACTGGCAGACAAGAGAAGAAGACAACAGGAAGTGGTAGTTATTAGGGAAGCTTCAATCACACTGCATAGTTAAAACACGTACAAAATATCTAAAACACACAAGGTGAGCTGAGAGAATTTAATATGTTTACATATATATTTATTTTTGTTAAATAAGGGTGTTGAAGAAATAGAAATAGTTAAATCTGTGGTTGGGCCTCAGTTCAGTTTATGGCGTTAATACACAGAGATTGTAAACTAAAAATAAAATTACAGAAGAAGAAAGAAGTAGAAGAAAGAGGAGGAGGATGATGGCGGCGCTGCGTGTTTTTAATGACTTATTGCATGACTAAACTTATGAACGCATGATTTAAATTACAGTTTTTAGTTAGTGGACAGGATTATTTGCAGCAGAAAGTGATCAGTGTGTCTGATGCGTCTTTGCATGATAATTTGGCAGAATGTTATTGTTTGTTTCTCGATTAGCTGCTGGTGAAAAGCAGCTTGAACAAATAAACTTGACTCCACAGATCCACACCAGGCCAGGACAGCACCAGCTCTCCCAAATGACCACCGCGTTGAACCCCCCGGCGCCTCCGCCGCCGCCTCCAGCTCCACCCACTCCTCCTGTGGGGCCCCCGGCCTCGTCCCCGCTCTCCCCGCTGTCGCCCACCATTTCGCTGCTGGAGGAAGGAGACCTGCGCAGCGTGGACCCTTGCAAGGACCTGTGGGGTTCTCGGGGTTACGAGGATTACAGATGCGCCGGTGCGACCAGGACTATGGTTGGGGGCCTGACGGGCGGCGTGGTGGTCGGCGGCGGTGGGAGCCTGCAGGACAAGTCGGAGCTGTGCATGGCTCGCTTTGAGAAGGAGCTGGCGGGCGTGGGGCCGGCCGGCTGCGAGGTCACCGTGAGCCTGGACAGCAAAGCCTCCCAGCGCCTGTCCTCGTCATCCCCCACCTGCATGTCCATGCCCAACGCCGTGTCCGGAGTGTCCTCAGGTGCCGGCTCGCCGCAGGAGCCCGGCAAAGGCTCGCCGTCCCCCTGCTGCATCCACGCCTCCCGGACTCGTAAGAGAGGCGGGGCCGGCGGCAGCGACCCGGGCGCCATCTCTCCCGACGACGACAGTCCGTGCCCCCAGGCGTCGTCGTCGTGCTCGTCTCGCTGCGTCTACTGCCGCTCGGTGTTCAGCGCCTCTGAGAACGGGCGGGGCCGCTGCAGGGACGCCCCCGACCCGGCGCTGCACTGCCTCCGCCAGTGGACCTGCGTGTGGTGCGCGGAGAGCCTGCTGTACCACTGCATGTCGGACTCGGAGGGGGAGTTCTGGGAGCCCTGTTCGTGCGATGACTCAATGGGGGGCCACCCACACCCGCTCTGCTGCGCCCGCTGGTTGGCCCTGCTGGCCCTGTCGCTCTTCGTGCCCTGCATGTGCTGCTACCTGCCTCTGCGCGCCTGCCTGCGATGCGGGGAGAGGTGCGGCTGCTGCGGGGGGAAGCACAAAGCGGTCCGATGAGGCCAGGCTGAGGGGCGGGAGGGGTTCCCTGGACCGGGTGGAACCGAGCACCCGACGGCGGTCCTCCAAAGCCCCGCAGCTTCCCACTGATTTCAGCTCTTTCTCTTTTCAGCCGGGCGCCTTCCTCGACGGTCCAGGTGCTCTGGACTCTGACTGGGCTCTCTGGGCGTCATCTGGAGCTTCGTAGTCGATTCACCGGGGGAGCGCACTGCAAAAACACCAACTCTCACCAACTGTGTTTTTTTTTTTTTTTTTTTTTTGTCTGGTTTCTACTGGAAATATCTCAGTACACTTACTTTGTTTTTCTTCTAATGCTACTTCAAAAAACAACCCAGGCGCATAAAAAACAAAACACCCAACCATTTTCTGGTGTCTGGAAAATGAACCCTTTCAAAAACCTCCATTTGACAGCTGCTACCTAGCAACCCCAGCCCATCACTTAGCAACGCCACTCGAGCTGTTGAATGTTGCTGGAAAAGAGAAATGTTTTGTTGCTGATGTGCTATTCAGAAACCACTGGCCACATTCTTGTTGGTTGTGAAGGAGGCCCTACTTCTGCTTTTCAAAGATATTTGTGTGGTCATGTAATGGCAGCCATTTTCACATACGACAGTAAAAGTCTTAGTGGGCGTGGCCAGCAGCAGCTTATTTGGATTTAAAGTGACAGAGTCCATAAAACAACTCAATCTGAACAGAAGAACTGACCTGACTAAAATCACATTATCTAAGAATGATTTTGTGGAAAAAATATAATGAACTTTAAAATAAGACAAAACTATTTTACAAGTAACATTTCAGCAGGATATTAGGGCTACAGCTACCAATTATTTTAGTAATTAATTATTTTTTCAACTAATCGGGTTAAAAAAACATTGACCAAAAAGAAGCTTTAGACATCGATGTCAAAACATTTTTTTAAATATATTTCACGTGCTCTTACTAAAGGCATTTCATGAGTGTTAAAATACTTTAAAGAAATGAAATAATAATCCAGGAGTTCAAAGTTTAAAAAAAACAAACAGTAAAGTTGCCCTTTAAAACACTTTTTTAAGCTGCTAATCTTTTATATTTTCCAGCATCATTAGCCGCCAGCGGCCACATATTTACTAACACTCTCCGCTAACTGAACAGCGGAGAGTGTTGCAGCTACTCTTGAGCTGCAAGTAATGATCAGTTTAGTAAACATTTATTATATCGATTAATCAAATAATAAAACGGTTGGTACATTCTGCAGATTTTTCATGTAACCACTTAAAATTATTTTATACAACGTTAGAAATACATAAAAATGCCAGTAAACAAATGATTATAGGGCTGATTTGTTTATTATTGTTACTGTTTTATTCACGTGTTACTAATTGGATAGCAAAAACTACTAATAAGAAATTTTACAGCGTTTGAATCAGTTGAAACTAAAATTTGAGGAGTTCTGAGTAGAACATAATTACAGACAGAAGATGTTTTATCTTCAATGCAAAATGTACATATTTTGTGTACAAGTTTGGCTTAATTACTGCTCTGAGTGAGTTGTTCTTTCAGCAAACGGCATGTTTTAGAGTTTCAAGTTAAGGACTAATTCATTACTAAATGATTAATTCGATAATCAATTCATTACAATTTATCCAATTATTCAGTTCAGTTCCATGCTGTATAAGAGCTTGTTGTAAGAGAATAAATCCTTAATGACTGGCAGATTTGTAGACTTATAAAAGTGAATTTCTTCCTATTATAAGTTAAATAATCTGCAAGTACTTTTTTAAAATCAGTATTAAGGAATTATGGACTTTAAAGAAGCTCATATATCTTGCTAAAAAGCTACTAGTGAGAAAGTTTTGTCTTACTTCAAGTGTACTAAGATGTTTGCACTAGAAACTAAAAAATACTTGGTAAGATTTTGTGTTTTTGCAGTGTGGCTGATTTAGCTGTCAGCTTGTCAATGAGGTTAGCGAAGAAGCAAAGAAGGGTTTGCAGAGGCAACAATGGTGTGTACACTGTTTCAAATGTCCGTTTGTTTTGGTTTTTTATTTAGAAAGAAAATCTTTAAAAAAAAACAACAAAAGATGTTTATATATATGATTGTTATAATTTTAATTGGTATATTTTATTAAATGTAAAACACATCGACGGACTCCCCAAACACACACACACACACACCACATTTTCACAGAGCTCTTGGGGAAATTATTTGTTTCATGTTGAACAGACGTCACCCTTTACCTCTAATTTTACCTCAGATGTTACTCAAACCTGGGTTAGAGATGAAAACAAATGGAGGGTTCAGAACGAGAAAGCACAAACGCGTGCAGTCACACATCTGAGACCACGAGCTTCGTCTTCTAGTTGAAGCGTAAAACGCAAACAGACAATTATTGTTGAGGAACGCTGCAAAGACAACTACAAAGATTTATAAATTGTATTCTGGTTCATAATAGTTCTTAGTGCGCTGAATTTTGTTTCGACAGAGCCGGTCCAAAGTTTTCTGGGGCCTCAAAGTGAACTTTTAGGGGGCCCACTTCCTGTTAAGCCCTCCAGCCACTACTGATCGTTTCAAACAGTAGTCGCTGGGATCTAGCTTTGGGAATCAGTTTAGTTCATCAGAGATGCTCCACTAAAATTCTGCAATTTGTTACGTTTTACAAGAAAACATCACGTGAGTTAAACTAATGGAAAAAATATAATACAAAATAAAAAAGTAATCTATTAGTCAATAAGAAAAACTGATTTTGGGTGTTTATAAAAACAAGAATTTGAATAAACATGATTTCAATACAGATTTGGGAGAATTTCAACAAATATTTTATTTATTAAGGGAAAAAAATAGTTAACTTTGGCCTTATGTGAAAAAATAATCATATTAAACTATTAGTTAATCATTAATAGGGTATTTCCAGAACTACAAATCGCATTTAGGACAGGGAAACTTACCCGAGCATCCAACTTTCCAAAAATATGTTTTGACCCAGCAGTTTGCACACAAACATGAATCCATTTTTGATTTCTTTGTGTCATAATTTCTAACTTTCTATCATCCAGAACTGTTGGTTTTCATTAGCAGTAAGCTCCAAACACTTGCACACTTCGTCAGTAATTAATATCAGTTTAAATATTGACATAAATTATGTTCTAATTAACCAGTACTTTAATAAAACCATCTAGAGAATTTAGTTTAAATTTACAACTAGTAAACTCACCAGGTGGTGAATAAAAGTAAATTGTAGCAATTAAATAATTTAGCAATTGCTAAATTATCAAATGATATTTCTAGATAAATGTTCAGGATGTGAACTGAAGTATTTTTATGGCCCCCAGATTGTGTTTGTGGTCCTAAGGAGTGGCTTAGTTTTGTTTATACTTTGGGCCGGCTCAGTTTTTTAAAAGTACTAAACATCACTTTGCCTCCATTTTACCGTTAAGTTTTGATATGAATCATAAAAACTGTCATCCCTCTCCTAGTGAATCAGACAAGGTGCTGAAATAAATTAGTTTTGTAATTTTTTTCCTCCTCTGTGGGGCTAAAAAGTAAAACAACTGACTAAACATCCACCAATTTGTCTATTCTGCAGCAATGTTCCAACGTTATCTGGCTTAAAAATGACCAAATATCTGATAGCTTCACATAAAGACCAATTTATCCCTAAGTATTTTTAAAATTTTGTTTATCTGAGGTGTTTTCTTCATTTAAATTCATGCGGTTTGTCTCAGTTCCAGCTTCAATTGAAACGTCTATTAAATAAAAAATAATTAAATCAGAAGAACTTCAGTGTAAAAAAAGTAAGAACTCAAGTTATGGGAACGTTGGATAGTAAATAACGAAGATTATCCGATATGTCGAGGGCCAAAAGTGCCACAATTCAATACAAAAGTTGAGAAATAAATATTTATACAGGTGATAAAGTAAATAAAACTGAAAAACATATAATTACTTAACATTTGTATTTTGTATTTCCTAGTCTTGTATTGCAGCACAATGGGATTTTCTTTGTCATCCTTACGTGTGAAAGTCAGTGGGCGGGGCCAACACAGCAGTATGCAATCTGATTGGTCTCTAGTTGAGTTGCTGTGCAAATTGACCAATCAGCTTTTGGAATCTATTGATGAACCGTAGCAAAGGAAATATGAAATAATTTGATAAATACTGAAATTATTATGATTCAGCATATATAGTACTCAGATTTTAGTTACTTATTTTTACATTCAGTTAGTTGTGTATTAAATTATTTGCATCTAATAAAGTAGATGCATTTAGTTTATTCAATTACCACAGATATACACGTAATCTTAATCTTAAAGTTCTTATGATTTGCACACTTAATTGTGTAAATACATCTGGCACATTTAATTACATTATTCTGTAATTAATTTATAACAGTTCTATTAAAATCATCACAAAAGTGAATAAAATTTTAATAAACATTTCAACTGTTGATGCAATTAATGAATTTGATTTTAATAATCAGATTAAATTAGTAAATTTATTAAATTATCACAAAAAGCTTAGACATACATTTTTTTAACTATAAATATATTTTTCTTAGTTTTAAATGATTCTATGTATAAAAAATATTAAAACTTGAATTAAAATTACTTCAATTATTGACATGTTTGAATAATTATGCATATTTATTAGTTTAATACCTGATTTTCATTTTATTTTAAAGTAATTTTTAGGTATTGGATAGTGGTGTTTTTTTGTCCTCGATACATAAAAACTAATGAGCACCAAAGAATAAAAGTTCCAAAAGCCTGCAAGGATTTGTGGATTTCTGAAGTCCAGGATTCCCATAAAAAAAACAAAAAAACATTAAAATCATTTTTGTCAGAATGAAACTTTCAGAAACTTAGATTTAGAACTTTTTTTTCTTTTTTCTTCTTCCCCAAAGTGACTTAAAAACAGCGGGGTTCACTCAGGACACGCTCACAACACAGAAACCAACATCTGGGCCTCATAAACGAACCGTTCGTATTGACGCACAGACGACTTCTCCGATGAAACGTCCGGGTCTCAGACGATTCTTCTGATCGTAAACGAACCGTTAGTTTGATACTCTACCCCCAAACAAGCATCGGGTCTCAGGCGGTCCCCCGATCGTAAGCGAACCGTTTGGTTTGAGGCACCGACATCATCTCCAAGCAAACATCCGGTTTCAGTCGGTTACCGAATCGTGAGCGAACCGTTGGTTTGATGCACAAACACCGTCCCCACTAATCTGCAACCCCGTGCACCACAAACCACACCGTCGAGCCCCCTGACGGTGCAGATTTAACCGAACCAGTAAAGCCATTGCACCCAGTTTGCTCCTTCTGGTTCAGAAGAGTCCAACTCCGACAGTCATGCAATCACAATGCAGGTCCCATCCTTACATCTTAATAAATGTGCCTTTTGATTTGAGTAATCAATAACTTTTGATTTCAAAGTAACTCTGTATTCAGTACTTTTCCTTGATTTTTGGGGGTCATTGATTTCTGCCAATATTTTCACATGTACGTATTTATTAGTTTCAAAGTAATTATTGAGATATGACCTGTTTATTTATTGAGATATTTATTCTGATTCTTTATTTTTCGAGACAGGTTTTTATCTTCTGTGCTGTCTTACTTCTGACTTTGTGCCAATGTGCTGCTTTGAGGTGTTACATATCGTGGGTTTGTATCATTATTAAACCCTCACTCTATATTTTAAATCTGAGTTTTCTTTTCTTACGGTCATCATTATTTGACAAAAACACCCAAAGCTCAAACATTTCACTGAAGTGCCAAGATTTATGTTCAATCCAGAACGATAATGGGATATTTATTGTTCTCTCTGCAGAGGTTTTCTTTTGTATCTTTGCAGATCCATGGAGATACGGAGAGAAATTTGACCCAAAAATTTAATAAGCAAATAATAACACCTTTCAAAAATTGAAATATGAAAAATATGTATTTCAAAAATGAAACTTCTCAATCAAAAAAATATGTTCTGGTGTAATTTACAATGTAAATGCAGTAGATGAACCTAGATTGATGTTTTTTTTTCAGATTAAAATTGTTTTTTTCAAATTATTTTCAAATATTTTATTTTTCCTAAATTTATTGGTTCAGATAATTGTTTTAGATTTTATTTTATTTTCTAAAGACATTTTTAGATTCACAAAATTTAAAAAAATATATATAAACGCAGGTCCAATTGTTGCATACAAATAGTAAATTACTCTCAAAACTTATTTTTTACTGAGAGACTTTTCAAAGTTTCATTTTTGAAACGCGTTTTTTGGTTGCAATAATATTGGAACAAATTTTTTTCCGAATGGAGAAAGTAATACCTACGACTGTAAACGGAGATTAACAGGATCAAAAGTCCAAGGGAGAAGAAATCCTTTTGCAAAATTACAAAAATATTTTTGGTCTACTTTCTTGAGCAAACATCTTCACACACCTGAAATAAAACAAAATTAACTTACAAGTAACTTTTCAGCAAGATAAAGGAGCTGTTTTAAGGTCAATAAATTCTTAATACTGATAAAATGAAGATTTGTTTCCACTTATAACAAGACATTTTCCACATGTTATGAGTGAAGATTCAAGAATTACTGACCAAATTATATTGTGCTGAAAAGTTACTTGTTTTGTCTTATTTCAAGTGACTTAAGATTTTTACACCTGAAATTAGACCAAAAATGCCTGTAAAGGTTTGGAGATTTTACAGTCACTTTGCTGAAAACATGTGCTGCCTTTTATGTTTGAGGATCTCCGTGGATGTGAGCTTCAGATCCTCATCACAGACGTCGCAGTGATAGACCCTCATCAGACTCGACTTTCCAGATGAGCCGGGCTTTCCGTCTCCCGATTCTACAAACAGACGCATAATTAGTCTCGCGCTGCTATCATCTGCAGGTGTGTCAGGTAAAAGAAGCAGGAATCGGTTGGATGAATTTCCTGACCTTCTTCTGCCTCCTGCCGCTCTCCGGCGGGCCTGCAGGAAACTTCGTGATGCATCCGCTCCAGAGGAGTCAGAGGCATGTAGAGGTCACAGTTAGGGCAGCTCCAGAAGGTCCGCAAACACTCACTGTAGAGATCCTTCGAATCCTGGACGTCGTAAAAGAAGGACATTCGTTTATTTTAGAAAAGTTCTTCCGGTTCTTTAGTCTGATTTTGTTCCTCTGATCTGATGATCTCAGGAAGATGCTGCTCCTTTAATCACTTGTCATAACACTGTTTTGGATCACAAAGTTGTCGCCTGCCTAAGCATTTTCAACTGCTTTGGTGACAATTCGTACCTCAATATATAATTTACTCCAAGAAAAAAACCCACAATTAATAGAAACAGTTAAATATAACTTCATATACATTATGAATTTCAAGGTAACACCTAAACCTTTAAACTTAAATGTAAAAAAGTTTTTAAGCAACTTTGCATTAAAAGTATCATTATTTACCAAATGACAGTCGTAAACATTCACAAAGACTCCATCATGTTTATGCCAGTCTTACACAAATACAGTGTTACCAAATATTGTGATAAATTCTCAAATCATCAAATTTAATTTTTAAATCTTGCTCAGTCTTGATAAAAACACATGAAGTTTTAAGTCAAGTGTCTTTGTTGGTTCTCAGCAGTAAACACCATCACTTCTCACAGTTTCTCTCATTTCATCATAAAGTTTTAATATTAATCATAAACAATAAAAAGGTGATGGACATCTCGCCTCTGGTTTCAATTTTCTTTTTAAATAACAAAATTTGATGGAGATTTTTGTTCTTTTTTTGTGACACTTTTCCATTTTTTTAGTCTTTGAATAACTGAAAAAATGTTAAAAAGCAGCCAAATAAAATGGATAAGAACTGGATAACTCCACTTTAAAAGGTTTTGAAGAATCTCTGGCGGTTTGTCAATAAACTATAGAGAAATAATTGATGCATTTCATTCCCTTTCTAACAGCCGAAGCATTCACTTGGAGTGTTGGACGAACTCACAGCGAGACAATTGTAGGTGAAGAAGCTGGTCACTCTCAGGCCTCCTTTAATTGGATCCGGTTTGGCTTCTGCTCCTGGAAACAACAGGCTCAGATCCGGAAGCTCCACGCAAACCGAGTCCGGGTCGGCCTGAGGTCCGACGTACAGGTTCTGTGTCTGGAGAGCCGTGAGTCGCTGGAAGCTGTAACTGACCTGGACAGGAGGTTTCGTTACAGCATGAAGGTAAAAGAAAAGCAGAGGTTGAATTTCACTGAAATCTCCATGTTTTGTACCTCTGTGTAGAGCAGGAAGCGGACGAGGCCGTCGCTCAGCTTCTCCATGTCTCTGCGGGACACTCCCTGTCCAGAGGTGGCGCTCTCTCCCAGCTGAGCCTTCAGCAAACGCTCCCACTCAGACCTGAGACTGAGGGCCGTTGAGAGGACCCTCAGAGCCTCCTCGGGCTCCCGGACCTCCAGCTCCAGCCAGCCGTCCATCACCAGTCGCGTGCAGTCGGCGTTTGTGTCCACCGAGTTGGCCACCAGCAGCAGAGCCTGGTTAGCAATACAGCAGAGTTCACCAACTCTAATTATGACTTTTTAACATCGTCAATTTATGAGCAACACAGAGTCAACTAATAACGCCTGATTGGACGTTCTTTCAGTGTTAGGGTTAGTTAGTTTGAAGCGGAGCCGTTGAGACAAAAACAAAAACGGCGGCTGCACCATTTCAAAACGGTAAAGAAAAACGAGGATGTTGGCAGGAAAGCGGAGAGTAGAATACACAGAAAAATACCAAGAAGCGAGAAATATTTAGGGTTCTGTTCAAGTTAATTCACTTCATGGAGCAAAATTTAACATTCCTTCAAAAAAAATAAAAATAAAAACAATAAAAAATAAAAAACCCACAGATTCTAAGATGAACAGAGTCTGTTCATCAGGAATGAAATGTTTCACATATTTTATTTGTTTCATCTTTAATTTTCTATTCATCAACTTAAAGAGATTCCTGTTTTGTCAAATGTTATAAATATGTTAAATATGAGAAAACCACAATAATTTGTCAGTATTTTATTCATCTGACACAAAATGAATAAATTCAATTATGTTTTTCTTTGTAATGGAGCATATAATAAACATTTAACCGTCTTAAAGCATAGGTGGAAACGTCCACTCAGTTCCCTTAAAATGTTTTCTAATAAGTAAAATAATTTGCCAGGAACAAGCACTTTTTATTAATATCCAAGAATGATTTACTTAGAACAAGCTTTTACATTTTGCTGAAAAATTACTTGTTAGTTTTGTCTTATTTTAATTATAGTAAGATGTTTACACTACAAACTATACACAACAGTAAGAGTTTATGTTTGGACAATGTTACTTTTCCAGCACTCAGTTTTGCATAAAGGAAAAGCAAATTTTATTTAGTTTCATCTGGTAAATATAAATGCATGCATTACTTTTCAGGTTTCTATTTGAAAAGAATGTTGAAAATCTTTTCTTTTTCTTCCACTTCACAACAAATGCGCTACTTTGAGGTGATTTATCACATAAAACTCCTCAAAGTTTGAGAGCCACAAGCTTCAAGAAACTTCTCAGATTTTAATTAAAGGGGAAGAAACACAGCGGTCGGATCTTCGGTCGTCCCGCCGCTGATACCGACCTGCAGGGCTGGAACCCGGACGCAGTTGGACAAATACGGCTTGTTGGTTTCCAGCAGCGTGACGAAGGCCAGCAGCTGATGTTTGCTGCTTTCCCTCCTGTCCGGTCCTGCAGACGAGGACCAAGACTTTCAATGAGAAGGAGAACTAGCTGCTGTTGTAGTGGAAGACATAATTTACTGCACCTCACATGCACTTCAAAAAGTCTTGGGATTAAAGAACAGATCAAATCTATTGATGACTTAAAGCTTCATATAGAATGGTAGAGTCTGTGTGAAGGCAGAAGAGTTTAAATCAGGGCTGATCAAAGTGCAGTCCATATGTTAGGGCAAAATTATTTCAAACAAATTAAAATGTTCTTATAATGTAAAATGTTTGATGCACCATCATTTTATAACCACGATTTATGCATGAGAATTATTTAGCGATGTCTACTTTGATGCACCAAAATCTGCTTTAATTTTTTCAATTAATTATAGCTAAATACACAGAATTTTGATCCAGAAAGTGACAAAAATTCTTTATTTATGTCTGAGACAAAATTACAGATTGGATGCGTTTCTTTTAATAAAGCACATGTGCAAAATCCTTTTTAACTTTGGAGATACACTGATTTATTGTAGTTTGAGCCCCCCTGGTTTACATCAAAGGTTAATAGTTCAAATCTTTTTTAAACGACCTTTGACATCTTTGTGTTCTCAGGTTCTTGCTCACCTGTTTCTCTGGGGTCGTCCTCGGGAACATGCAGCACCTCCGGGTCGCTGGCGAACACACTGGTCGGGTGCATCACCACGCCCTGCTTGCTCCTCGTGTGGAACACCTGCCAGGAGTCAAAAAATAAATACACATGAACTTCTTACACCATATTTCAGGTTAAAATCAATATTTGTTGAAGCCTGGTAAAGATGGATCCTGAAATGAATTAAAATCTTTCCTCAAAGAGTTTTAGAAAATCTTTACCTTTCATTTCATTGTATTTATTCAGTGGGGAAAAACCCTATAATATAATAAAATAATTGCTTTTAACTGAATCTCAACTGCTACAGTTACTGGCAGCCCTAACAATTCCTCATATTTCACAGAGTATTTTTCTAAGGTTATTCTATATTCTTTAATTCCTGTGATAATTAAAGTTTTCTAAGATGTGTTTTTTCAGAGTGTTAGGTAACATCTGTGGCTCTAGAGCCTTTCAAACTCAAAAAGCGGCTCTTTGGGCAGTAAAGGTTGCAGGCAACTGATCTGGTCTGATTGCTGTTTCCGTTCGCTGGTGCAGCAGGAAAGCGAACCTGATCCGAGTCTTTCCGGGTGGTGTTGTGCTCGTCAGGGAGCGCCAGCTGAGGGTAGAGTCCTCGGCAGAGCAGCAGCTTGAGCAAAGCTTGGTGCCGCGACGACAAGTCCTGACTGGCGCCGACGGCCTCCTGCAGCTCTGAGACGTTGTGGCGTAATTTAAACTTCACTTCCTATTTGAAGACAAACAGAAAAAGTTCTTAGATTCCCAGAAACATCCAAATATTTCCATCTCTAGCATCTTCAGGCTGTAGTTTTAAAAAGATGTTAAAGGTGACATATTATGCTTAGGATGGATGTATGGGCAAAACATGTTCAAAACTTTGTTTTCACAAAATCATCCTTAGATAATGAGATTTTATTCTGGTCAGTTCTGCCTATTTTGCGCTGTTTCAGGGCATCTTGTCACTTTAAATTCAAATTAGCTGCTGGTCACTCCTGTCACAATAACAGTCTGATGGACGATAAATTGTTCCACATGTTATTGTCATGAACGATAATATTATTGTTTTCAGACCATTTTCAAATAATAGCAATGACATAGTAATGCAACAACACATTCTCAAAGATCAATAAACTTTAAAGTCTAACAAACATTTAATACTGGAATTGGAAGACATTTTAAATGCCCAAAATAAATAAACAAAACAAGGAAAATGAAAAATGAAGTCTCTGTAAACAAAAATGTCCTTCAGAAAAATGGCTGGTTAAGGCCAAAGCACCAGACTGAAGATTTTGTTATCGTTTAGTAGAAAAAGAGACAAAAAATAGAAAAACAATAAATCAGGCAAATGGAAATTATTGAGCACATTTTAATTTATCTTGCGATTAGTAGATTTATTGCCAACAGGCCTGGCCACGCCACCAACTCAATGTTTACGCTCACACATGAAAATGGCTGCAAACTGAGGCGCAAATATAGAACCACACATCTTTAAATAGTATTAGTGGAGCCTCCTGCACAACCAGCAAGAATGCAACAAGCAGTTTCTGGTTGTTACAGAAACAACCAGAAACTTGTTGTTGTTGACTTTTAAGTCAACAACAAAACACTTGTCTCTTCCAGCAGCCATTGGACAATGCATACAGGGGTAAAACCAGCTGACCAAACATAAGTTCAATTTGGGTTACTATAAAACAGGGCAGTGCCTACTGACATGTGAAGTTACATTCAGGAGGCTTTTGAAATGGCTCATTTTTCAGGCACAAAAAAACATAAACCTATTGTCAAAAAACAGCCAGGTGTTTTTTTTTTAAGTGCTTGGATTATTTTTAGAAGCAGTAGAGACAGAAATGAAAGTACAAAAATGTGCAAAATATGAATCTTGCACAGAAAGTTTAATGTTTTTGACTGTCTGCTGTTGAAGTGCAGATGCTCACCTGGATGTCCACCTCCTGTCCCTGTCCCTCCTTGGACTTCCTGCCTCTGCCTCTGACTTCAGAGTCCGATCCTGAAGAAAACTCTCCGTCTTGGCCCTCCTCCAGCCGCAGGACTTTACGTTTGGTCCCCTCCTGCTGCTCATGGTCTCTTTTCAGCTGATGCAGCTTCTTCCTCTCCGTGAACCTCTCCCTGCGCTGCTCGCGGTCGCCACTAGATGGAGCTGTGTCCTCTGTCTCCAGAAGGCCATGGCTCCTCAGCAAGTTCTGTAAACCACCAAAGGAGCTTTAACAAGGAGGAAGTTGACTAAAAACATTGGAATGATGATGATGATGAGGAACTTGCCTTGAACTGTCTGCGCAGGTTGACCATCTCATAAAGCCGCTGTTCCTCCAGGCCTCTCCTCCTGCACCACTTCCTGGAGCCGCCGCCTCGCTCTCCTTTTACCTGTTGAGCTCAAACCTCAGTCACCCCAAACATTCAATCTGTTCATGTCAGGAAGCCACCAGCATGTGGCGTCTCCACGCACTGACCTCCACCCAGGCGTTGAAGGTGTTGAGCAGGGTAAAGGGGTCTCCCTGGTTGCTGTACAGGGGCTGGCAGGACGTTTTGCAGTCCGGGTTCTGCTGCGAGCTGCGCAGGAACGGTGACTGGACACTGAGGGCAGCTGCAATGGTCAGCACGGGCTCCACCAAGTTAAACAGAGAACCAAGAACCAGCATCTTGCCTGCAAGATGAAAATTTAGTTTCTGTGCAAAGCAGGAAAAAACCCAAAAACTTTCTTATAGACTCTCCTAGAATTAATTTATATGCTTTCTTCTCCATAGGATTTATGTCTGATGGACAAAGATGTATTTTCAATCTGATTAACCATTTTAAATTTAGAGCGTTTTTACACCATCTTTTGGGGACTATAGTTTCAATATTTGTCACATTTTCAACTGCTGTAGTTCATTTTCACACAGCACTGACTCAAACGAACCAAACTATTTGACAAAGCTGTTTCCCTCCTCACCTGTGGGGGAGCTGCATCAAGAACCACTGAAGGAAATAACATAAAAATCTCTGAAGAAGGCAATGATCATAACTTTCTTCTTCACAAAATATATACAAAAGTGAAGAGGTGGCAGATTTTAGCAGTTGTAGGATTTCTATTTTGTCTTTGGTCAAAAGACCAGAAGCCATTTCTGCCGCTCGCATGTTTATAAAGGTTGTATTTACCCTGAATGCCCTGCACTACAGTCCACTTCCTGGTTTTGGAGTGGACTCTGGTCCCTATGGTGTTCAGATATGCATTCAAACCACACCAGGCTAGAGTAGATTTCAATAATCGGTCCATCATAATTAATCTGATTACTCATTGCAGCCTTAGATTTGAGCACAAACAAGAATAAATGGGGATGTTTGAAGAATCAAAGTCTGATAATGTGCAAAACTAAAACCATGAAGGCTTTTCTTTCAGAAACCTTCATGCAAACATACAAACATTAAAAACTGAACAGTCTAAGGAGGACAATCTTACCTATAACAACATCAACAGGCAGCTGAGCCAACAGTTTACCAATGGAGGTTAGTTCACCATGACTGTCTAGCGCCCCCTGCTCCTTCAGGTATGTAACTGCAGTCTGGATACTGGCCGTTGGAGGAGGATCAATGAAGACAAAAGAAAGCGGATCTCCCAGATCCATACTTTTCATCTGCAGGGACACGGATGTGTCACTGAAACTTGAATTCTAACGTGAAACCTTTATATTTATCAGGATTCTCCCACCTGCAGCACCAAGGAGTCCAGAGCCACTCTGTGGATTTCAGGGACAGGATACGGAGCGAAGGCGTTGTAGTCTGACTCCGCATAGAGGCGGTAGCAAACACCAGGACCTGTGCGACCAGCTCGACCTTTCCTCTGCTCGGAGCTGGCTCGGCTGATCCAGAACTCCTGCAGGCGCTGCATCTTAGCCTTTGGGTCGAAGCTCATCTCCTTCACCTTTCCTAAAAACAAAATCCACAGAACCCGAAATGGCGCAGTTCAGAAGGTATGGCTATGTTCACACAGCATGCCAAAGCGACCCAATCCGTTTTTTTGCCCATGTGCGACCTATTTCTGACTTTTTGGTGTCTCAAAGGGTGAAATTATTATCGCTGATGTTAATAACGTGCAAATAATTGCACAGTCAATGATGAAAATGTCAAGTTTAAGTATAATTTAATGTGGGATACTTTAATGGTTTAATCCAGCCCTGCCGTATGAACGTAGCCATTGACGTAAAAGCTGAGAGGAGGGACAGTTGAATACCTGAATCCACAACAAACCGGACTCCATCTATCGTAACCGAGGTTTCAGCGATGTTGGTGGAGATGATGCATTTTCTTACACCGGGAGGAGCGACGTCAAACACCTGAGGAACGTCATCAGTTCAGAGTGAGACATCAGAAACAATCTCCTTTATTTAAAACATGTTCCGATGGCGCCCACCTTGTCCTGCTGAGCGAGAGAGAGGGTGCTGTGCAGCGGCAGGATGATCCAGCGCCGGGTGTGTGTGGCGTAAACCTGACAGGCCTCCTGGATGTTGGAGATCTCCGCCACGCCGCTGAGGAAGAGGAGCAGGTCCCCTCGCTCCTCTGGAGGGTAGCGCTGATCGATGCCCTGCAGGATGCGCAGGTACGGCCTGGGGTCCAGCTTCTCTGAGCGAGAGGGCTGCTCCTCCGGGGGGATGGGCTGGTAGATGACCTGGAAACAGAGCATCACTTGTCCCAGCAACGCGTTACTCCAACCCGACACCTTGTTTCAGTAATGAGCAGAGTTGGGCTGTAACTACTTACTTTTACTTGAGTATTTTTTATTATGAAGTATCGCCAGAGGTGGGTTGGGTTTTTTTTTTAAGTTGACAACAGTCAACTTTTAAACTCAGTTTTTTTCCAGTTTTTTTCTGAACATTTCTGAGCTCAATCTCAAAAAGAAAGTTCTGAGTTTTTCATAGAATTTTTGACTTTCAAACTCAAAAAATTACATTTTTTTCTATGAAATTTCTGAAATTAATCTAAAAATTTCTAAGCTTTTTAGAGAAAATTTACTTTTTTTTCAACCTACAACTACCCTAATAGACAATTGTGCTTCACTGAATGAAGAACAAGTTTGTTTTAACCAAAAATTCACCAAACCGAAACACACACCTGCATTTTTCATGAGTTTCAAAAGTTTTATATTGAAACTAATTTGGAAAATGTTCTCTTGTTCAATTTTGTTATTTTGTAATTATGTTGTTGAAGAATTGTTTTTCATTTGGTCTTTAAAATACCAACATTTCTACTTCATTTTTTTTTGGTCCAGCTTGTGATGTAAATTTGAAATATTAACTGATTTATGTTTTAATCAGTTACCAAGTACTTGAGTAAACCTTTTACCAAATACATTTTTACTCTTATTTCTTGAATGACTACATGTAACAAAGAGCAATGTGTGTGTATATGTCTGTGTGAATTTTGCCCAAAATAATGAAGGTTGTGTCTGTTTCTGGTAGGATTTTTGAGTGATGCCACGGTTTAGAGCCACTTAGTGGTGTGATGACGGACTGCATGCGACGGGTCCTTCAGGCGCTCTCGCGGCTTCCCTCACCAGTTCTGCAGAGTGCTGGTGAAGGTCGGTGCGAGAGAGGCAGCTCTTCATTACTTTCTTTTACTTGGGGTCATATTTTTCTAGTTCAATAATTAACAAAATACTATAATGACATTTGACATGTACAAATATAATTTATAAAGTTTTATAGTGGTTGGGCTGGAAAAAATATGACCCTATGAGTGGGAGCTGCGCCAGTTGGTGTTCCTGGCTGACCACTCAGTCATGACGCTAACAGTGTTTTTTGTTTTTCAGCTGAGGGGCCACTCGCAGGCAGTCACGTTTTGAAGAGTTGTCATTTTTTTGTCGTTCTAGTGACAAGTGAATAAACAGGGAACGTTATATACGTTTTACTTTTACTTGAGTAAAAATTTGTTGAAGTAGTTCTACTCTTACTTGAGTACAATCTTTAGGTTTTCTATCCAGTGATTTTCAATACTTTTTGTGCTGCACTGAAAGTATAAAAACAGTCTCTCAATCTATCAAATTATTTAGCTTCAAAAACACCAACTTTGAAGAAATATTTGGAACATGGCAGAGCAGGTTCAACTAAACACCACCCAAAAAAAACTTGAACTGTGGTGCAAAACCAAATCAGCTGTTGTTACCAACAGCTGAACATAACTTGTAGAGTACCTTGTTCTCTAACTTAGGTACTTTTAAAATGAAGTAATTAGTAAAATCACTATGCTATGTTTTCAAGGTAACCGTGGCATCACTGATAGAGAGAACATCTGGCTATGAGGAGGTCTAAAAGAAAAACATCCCTGCACATTCTGATTGGCTGCTGCTTACCTGAATGGGAAACAGCCTGCCTGGTACCTGCAGCACCGGGGCGCTGCGGAAGTATTCAGAGAAGAGCTTGATGTTGATGGTGGCTGACATGAGGATGAGACGGAGGTCCGGCCGATCGGCCAGCAGGGAGCGCAGGACGCCGAGGAGGAAGTCGCAGTGGAGATGTCTCTCGTGGACCTCATCCACGATGACCACCTGGTACTGATCCAGGATCTTGTCCTGCTGGATCTGTCGCAGCAGGAGCCCCTCGGTCAGGAAGAGCAGCCTGGTGGCCGCCGTCCGAGAAGTCTCAAAGCGAATCTGATATCCAACCTGGAAATGTAGGAATATAATAGGTGACCCATTATACTTCCTTGAACAGATTAGGATAGGTTAATATGCTACACAAAGCATGTTCATTTCATTTTTGCACAAAATTATTCTTAGATAAGATTTTAGTCCGGTCGATTCTGCCTATATTGACATCCTTTCAGAATGAGCTGTTTTAGGGGGTCTTGTCACTTTAAATCCAAAGTTGCTGCTGGCCAACTCTACATTCACACTCACATTAAAATGGTTTTAAAAAGATACACAATTATGCAACCCTACATCTTTGAAAAGCAGAAGTGGAGCCTCCTGCACAACCAACAATAATGCAGCAAGTAATAGTAGTAGTGTCATGCCGAGCTCAAAGGCAATGACGCTGGATGGTAAGTCAACTAGGCAGTGCCCATGAGTTGTGACTTAACAATCAAGAGGATTTTAAAACGGCTAATTTTGCAGACACCAAAAAACAAACGTATTGTTTAGAACTAGTGGAGACCCAAATGGAAGTGCAAAAATGTTCAAAAGGTGAAATTTGCAAAAAATAGTTTCCTTTTAAACTCAGCAATATCAGTTCAACATCTGTATTGATTCTTTTTCTAGTTTATGATAGAACAACAAGACTGAAATAAATAGCAGTTATTAATATCGGTTTGATGCTGATATGTTAAAAAATGACTGATATCAGCCGATACTGATGTTAGTGGCAATATTTTGTACATGGACCAACCTTGGATCCGTACTGATTGAGGCTCTCAAAGCTGACTCTCTTTGCGAGGGAAATGCAGGCGATCCGGCGGGGCTGGGTGCAGGCGATGTGGCTGAAGCCAGCCGAGAGTAGATACTGGGGCACCTGGGTGGATTTCCCGCAGCCTGTGTCCCCGGCCACCACAATCACCGGGTGAAGCCGCACCAGCTCCACGATCCGATCTCGGTACTGAAAGATAGGCAGGTTCTTCTGCTCCCGGCGGAGCTTGGCCAGTTTCCCAAAGCTCTGTTTCTGGCTGAAGTCCAGGAAGTGCAGCAGAGCCAGGCGGCAGTCCGAGACCTCCTGCGGACCTGGTCCCGAGGATCTCTGCCTGCTCCTGGGATCGGATTTCCCCAGTCGCTTCTCGATGTCCCCGGTGCACACGGACACGTTAATCCGGTACCGAGCGTCATACTCTTTAGGAAGCCCCAAATCCACTTTTTCAGAACCTGACCTTTTCTTTTCTTTGACATCATCTCTTATTCCAGACCCAGACATTTCCCGCTTTGCTTTGAATCTCTGGAAACGGTCAAAGAAAGCCCAGAACTCTTTATGTTCAGTGGAGCCAGTCTGGATGTAGTCCTGTTCACGGAAAAATATCTCATCCATCTGGGCTCGGTTCTGCGGGCTGGCCCAGTCCCAGCTCCGGCCACCTCTACTCCTGTCCCGGTCCATGTTTACTGGACGTTTTCAGCATCTAACTACAGCAGACCGACTGCAGATTGATTACGAGAAACACAAAACATCAGGTTTGAAAAGACAAACATCTTCCCAAGTCATCACATTGGACGTCAGGCTAACGAGCTTTCCACCGAAATAAATCAGAGATATTTAACTTTTATCCAATCAAAGTCGAGCCCGTAACACTGCCTAACATTTCTACATGTAAACATTCCGAAAAATATATAAAATATTATGGGAAAGAAAAGACTAGGAAATAAAAAAAACGAAACTGTACAAGTTACACCGCTACCAATAGGGAACAAAAATACGATAGGACATCTTCCGGTTCGTGCTCTAAAACAATCCGTCGCTTTTGCGGAACGACTGTACCAACCACCGGAAAACATTTCATTTTGTGTGTTTTTAATCTGAACTCTAAGGAAAGTCTCCCAACTTCTGAATTTTGACTTTAATCTCAAACTTCTACTCCTTTCTCCCAGAATTTAGAAAAAGTCTCGAAACTGTTAAATTCCGACCCTTTTCCCTAAATTCTGAGTAAAATCTCCAAATCGGTTACTGTTAGAGCAATAAATAGAAAATATTTAAGTAATTTGTATGATGGTTTGTTTTTTATTTTATCATACTTAGTTAAGAAGATTATTTGTTCAGACAATTTTTGTTTTGAAGTTTAGTTTTATTTTGAAAGGCTTACTTCCTGTTGGGTATATGTTGTAAAAGAAAAATTCTATTGACAGTTTGTTCACTTAACGGATTTTTTAGACAGGGCGCAATACAGTTTTTGACCGTGTAAACTGTGTACAGTTGGAAAGAAGGAAAAGGAAATTGTAAACTGTAGCTGTCATTTTTGTATTTGTATAATTTTTATAGATAAATATTTTTGTTAAAATTCATAGTTTTCACGTGTCCTTTACTCTGTGTCTAAGGAATGACACAGATATTGGATCTGTTGCCATAACAATTACAAAAAGTCCCAATTCAGAGATTAAATTAAAAAAGAAAAATTTTTTTTACCAGTTTTATCTGGTGAGAAAATACCCAATTCAACAATCCACATGAAATCTAAACCTGTTTCAATATCCTCTAAACCACCATTTTCTGAAATTTTCATTGTGACTGAGGTCCCTTTGAACCATAGACCCAGTAAGTGCAGTCACTGGTTGCTTTGGGGATTGTCATTTATTTATGGAAGAGAAGAAAACACCAGGCCCACAGTTTTCATTTCAGCCTCAAACCAACAGTAAGTTAGAGACAACCATTGAACCGTTGTCGAACAGTCAACAGGGTACTATGCTATGCGAGGTAAACATGTTTAAGAGATCTTTCAGCTGCAGTTGCAAAGAAAAAATTCAAAGCACAAATATTAAAAGTTTAAAACAATCAGTATCTCAGCAGTACATAATACACCTGGGATGAAGGAAGGGTTGTGGGCGCACTCTATGCTAGACCAGAAACCAGGAGTAAACCTAAACATTTGAGGTTCTTAATGTTATTTACAGCATCCCACTATAATGTAGCATCAGTTTTGTTTAAATAAAATACAATATGAGCAGTCCAGAAGCAAAATAACTCATGCTTATACAAAAGGTTATTTTAAATATTTTTATTTGAAGCCATTTCCTATAAAATACACATTTACAATAATTTTAGACTAATTAAACTGGAGGAACTGTTACCTAACCTTCAACTTTTTCCATGCGCATGAAAATCTCTCTGGAAAAAAAAATGGTATCAATGATAGGAACTCGTAAAAAAGTGATGACAGATTTTATAGGAATTTCTAATAGGCTTAAATAAACAAAACCTAGAGGACAAGATCAAAAGAAGTAAAATAGATTTAATTTACACAACTCAAAGTTTGTTCTCAAATCCAAGTTTGTGTAACAAGTGTACCTTAAAACTTTGTCCTCTGCATCATATAACATTTGTACTCCATCAAATAATAATAAAAACACAAAAATAAAACATCTATTTACATTTAAAGCAGTTAACCAATCACCGTCCTGGTAAAAAAAAACAAAAACAAAAACAACACAATCACAGTAAGTTCAACAGGCATAGCACTTGCTGTAAAAGTTGTTCATCTTTCAATGCCACTATAGCCAGAAGTCAAGTCCACTCAATCTGCTGGTTGGTCTGTCAAACTGGAGTCTCATTGAATGAATTTCTTCAAGTCCACAGTTTATATCCGTAATGATCCTGTTTGATTAAGTTAAACTAGACTAGACTCCAGTCTTCTCTTTGATCCAGCCAAGAAATTCAGTGACTGTGGTGTAGATCCCTGGTTTATTCCTACGAGCGCAGCCGTCACCCCAACTGACCACTCCTCCCAGGAACATAAAATCACCTTCCGGACTGGACAGAGGTCCACCGGAATCTCCCTAAAACAAGGAAACACATATGACACCATTATAACCAAATCACAACAAGAAGGCAATAGGAGAGTAGCATACTTCTAGGGTTGTTCTGTTCAATATGTTGTTCTAAAACTTGTCAATTCATGACAGACAAAAAGGGAGAGCAAGGCGGGCTAATTATTAATTTTAGACGTTTAGAACTACAACAAAAATATGACACCACTAATTCATAATTATGATACTGATTCTAATATAGCTTAATGATTTTATGTAAAGTGTAACAATTGTACATTTATGAATTCATGTACAATTGTTTCTAATGATATGTTAAGTGTGCGCAATTGTTAGAGGCTTTTTTTAAAATGAGGCTTTTTAAAAAAAAATGAAGAGTAGCCGTTGTTATGGAAGTGGCCGATTTTAACAAGCGAACAAACAAACCACTCCTTTTTAAATCACTGGGTTTATCGCGCGACCTCTCATTTCCCGCGCATGCGTCGTTTAGGTCCTCTGCGTGTCGGCGCAGATAACGGACGAAAGCAGAGGCAAATGGGGGATCTGCGGAACGGCTGCGGTTCCCTGCGGGGTGCGCAGCCGGATGCAGCGTCAAGAGGTCACCCTGCCATCGTAGCTCATTCATCGACCAAGAAGACCGTGTGTGAGTGGCTCGCCTTTATTCCCGCCGAAACTGCGGCGTATGTCCTGTTGCCTAGCAACCGTTAAGACATTCCTAACTGTTGGCTGCTAATGACGCTTAAGTTAGCGTTAGCTTTAAATATTCATGTCGCTTTTAGCCCGTTTTGAAGGATGATGTCTGATCAGCTCTTGGTTGAAATGCAAATTAAGAACTAGATTATTCTACATTGAAAACAGATGGGGAAAAAAAAAACAAGTTTGCAGTTTAGAGCTAAAATTGTTTGTTGGTTGAATTCTAAAATGTTGAGCCTTGTGCTATAAATATTTTACACATGAGCAGTAAGTTATTTTAAAGAGTTAAAGTAACCCAATACCATAAGGTTTTCATCCAAATGTACCACTAAATTGTACTTTCAATGACAATTGCCGTCTCATAATTCCAGCAGGACAATTATCCCAAATATATATAGAAGTGGGCTGAATTATGGAGAGGTTTGTAAAACCGTTAAACAGTTTCACAAACTGAAATTAAGGAAAATTCAAGATAGAACATAAAGAAAGAGACACAAAGCAAGATGAAAAGTAGACCAACAAAGTCAGAGTAAAGGAAAAATAAACTCCTAACCTGACAAGCATCCACTCCTCCTGTCAACACGCCAGCACACAACATCCGGGATGTGAGACGATAACTCATTAATTTATCACACTCGTTATGGTTTATGATTCGGACTGAAGCTTTCTGGAGGGTCTTCGCAGCAGTTCCTGAATAATGATAAAAGAAAAAAAACAAATCGATAGATTCATAGAACCATCATTGATCATTTGCACTAGAATAATCAAAATACTAAAAAAAAAAAAAAAAATCAAGCAGACTATCAAACATGGTATATATAAAACACAAACGTTAAAACTTAATTGCCTAATATATTTATTCTACATTTCATCAATCAGAAAAAGCCTAAAATGTTTTCCAATTTTTGATGGTATAAAATCTGATGCCCTTTAACAACCATTGTTAAAACCCAATCATTTCATCTAACATGTTCTAGTGAGTATGGGGAATTGCTTGATCTCATACTTAAATGTATTCCTGCACACTCACCTCCCTCTCTTGTTGCTCCCCACCCTGTGATCCACACATTTTGGCCGGCTGGAATCTTGTAGTCGGAGGCTGGTAAGCAGATGGGCTGAATGTAATCTGAATAAACGATGGGGCTGTCCAGCTCCATCAGGGCAATGTCGTTGTCAAAGGTATTAGGGTTGTAGTTGGGGTGATCTATGATCTGCTTCAGCTTCCTTTTTACAACAAATGAGTCAGTACTCTTCCGTTGGTCATGAAGACCGAGGTAAATCTCCCATTTTGCAGGCTCTCCGAATCTGAAATCCAACAGGGAAGCAGATTAATTCCTCATTAGACAATCAGATTCAATGGGAAAAGAATAGATACAACTGTAGTATACAGAAAGTCAAAAGTTCTGAAAACAACTGAATACTTTTCAAGGCTCCATATCAATTTGTGGATTAATTTTAATGCCATGAATGCCACCTTATTTTAGTATTTACATTAGTAGTATTTTTCACCTACAGAACAACAATTTGTAGCGAAACCATGATGTACAAGTATATTTGCTTTGTTGACAAAGCAAATGTCTGCTATGGGGACAAATGGCCATTTAAATCCTCAAGTTTCTCATTTAATTTTTATGTTGAACTCTATTTCCATCTCTTTGGTCCTGGTGGCTCTAAAATTCAACAGATTGGATTCAAGATAGAATAAATAAAATACCCTTTGATGGTGAATGTTATCTACTGAAGCCATTAAGCCTTATGTTATGTATTGCAGACTTTGAATAAGTAATAGAAAATTACTCTAAAAGCAGATACAAAACATTTTTCTGGATGTATGAACTTAGTAAACTACCAAAATTTCAAAAAGTAAGCACTGGTATTTGAATATATACACATGCCAATTTTAGTAAGTATAGAAGTTAATTTAATAATCAAGCAACTGAAGTAGCTGGAAAATACCAGCTATTTTTCATTTGCACTCTTATGCACATGCAGCCCATTTGGGCAAAAAACAAATTGTTCACCCAGAACTAGTTCTCATCTCTTTTAACTGCTATGTTTATTTGCTATGTTTTTTATAAAGCTCAATGGTTGAAGTATCTTACATTTGAAAAGGCATAAGCTGAAGCTTTACCTATGGTTATTGTCATTTTGCACACAGTGGGCAGCAGTGACCAGCCATTTTTCACTGATGATGGACGCGCCACACACATGTCCGAAAGGGTGGTAGTGAAGGCTGACTTGCCACGGAAACTCCCCTTG